CTTCTTCATTTTTTTTTTGTTCTTTTTTTTTTTTTTTACTTCGGCTCTTCAAGGAACACAAATTCAGGTCACACCAACAAGTTCAAGAAAAACGGATGAAAGGTTATGCAAATTCCAAGAAGACCCTAGTTCTTGATTTATTGTTCAAGAACTTTCAAAACAAGATTTAGTGGTTCAAGAACTTCAAGAATTTTGTTCAAGGAGCTCAAGAACTTTCCCAAATTACGTTGTGGTGTTTAGGGTTTGCAAGAACAACAACCAATATTCAAGAAATAGGCAAAACAGAATTTCAGCAATACTCAAAAGAAAATTCCAGCAATACTCTAGCAACTTGGACACTAAAACAATATAAGGTACGTGACTCTTTTTTTTTTTTTCTTTAAACCCTAACAACCCAAACACAAGTATAACAGACTCAAGAAAGAAATTTGGTTAGAAAACACAAAAAAAACAACACCCAAACAGATTTTTTTTTTTACTCGGATGAACAGTAACGTGAACAGTACGCTACAGTATGCTGAACAGTAATCGCTACAGTAATGATGAACAGTACTGGGTACAGTATTTTTTTTTTTTTTTGACAAAAGACACAAACTAACAAGATATGAACAATTTCAATTAAAAGAGAATTAACCTGATGCTCTGATTACCAACTGAAGAGCAACCCTAGGGGAAGACCCTCCTAGAACCTCCCAACCTTGTAATTATCAGAGTTGGATCTTTTCTCCCAACAGAAATTGAACTCGATTGTTCTCATGAACTCAAGACCTCTGACACACAAACGTAATCAGCAACCTTAAGCAAATAAGGATGGATGAAGCGACACCACGATTAGGGATCAAGCTAATCGATAAAGTCTGATTTGAATCCTAAGCTATGAACTCAAGAATTCAAGAGTAAGTTCGATTAAGAACTTGAAGGAAAATTCCTCACGATTTCTGGTTGTAATAATCTGTGTTTTCACGCATACAATAGGTGCCTTTTATAGGCTAAAACTAGGGCAAATCCGGCCCACATAAACCTGGAATAGAAATTCGGTCCGCATAAAGAGCTAGCTCTTTAAGGCTTCTCGATAAGGCCCAATAAGTAATAAAATACTCAACTACTAACAACTACTAAACTAGGCAGTCTTAAGACAACTACCAACTAAGCTAACACGTATGAGATCATTCTTTCACTTCAAACGTACAAGTGAACAAGGTAACTTCATGGTCCATCAAATCTTCAAACTTAGTTTCCTCCTTGCTTGTATGGTGAATGATCAAGGCTCGTAAAGCTTCCTTCACTTTCTTGGATCTTGATCTTGTCATCGGATCACCAATGTTGACCAAAGGATTCTTGACTCAAGATTGAAGTTATTGCACACCCGCATCCGCATCAATTATTGTTACCAAAATGGATTTATTATTGTTTCAGCCAAAGGAGGAACTAAAGCCGTTAATGGGAAAATGAGTACCGTCATCTTATAACGGAGGATAGGCAGAAAATAGCTGGTGTTTTATTCAGAAATGTTTTTATTTGTATTTTATCCCTTAAATTAAATTGTGTATGGAACAATGGGTACTCTTTTGTTGTAATGGAGGAATGCCGTAAACAGCTGGTATTTTCTTCGAAAACGATTGCATTGTTATTCGACCCACAACTAAATGTATTTGTATAAGGGAAAATGAGTACCCTGTTGTTCTAATGGCGAAAACACATAAAAAGATGGTATTTTATTGGAAAAATCATTGTTATTATTGTATTCAGAAAAACATGTCTGTCTACGGAAATGGGTACTCTGTTCTCATATTCCTACCGAACCCGTCCACAGCTGGTCTTCTACAGCGGAGTAGTGCAATTCAAAAATATGCATGCGATTTGGTTCTTCTAATTTTTCCAAATAAAAATTTAGATGCAGTGCCAACTATGACTTATTATCGCACTAACCTAACTTAGGCTCACTAATGATACAGTTCGTTAACCGTAGTCCGCAAAAGGATGCCTGAAACAGGTCAAACTGCTCTTAACCACTCAGTCGATGCACTGCAAGCTCCTCCATTTAAACTCAGGTCCGTCATCCATATCTCCTCCTATAAGAGCTTCACACAACTAAACTTCTTCCTTGCATGCCCATTCACCCCCGCATTGGTTTCGCATAACAGCCTTCGCTATTGCATGCCGCTTCAGCTTCATACAACCACCTTTTATAAGTTTCGCATCGTTCTTTACCACCTGTAACATGTAACTAGACGAAAGATTCGCTTCGTTCTATATGTTCTAACCCCTGAACCGACCAGCCTCCTCGTAACATAATCCTTTTCCAGACTGACTCATGGCACTTGGACGACTTCCTAAAATACATGTCCTGAACAACGGAGGCATGATCGGCTACTTTCAAGATGAGGTCTTACCACTTCACGACATTGGAGTGATGTGGATAGTTGAGGAAGCGCTGGTTCGGTTAGATAGGTTTCCCGGAGCGGAGTTTCCGCAGTCGATGCTGGTGTCTTGCATCCCCGTTCGCAACCCCATTCGCATTCTCGTTTATGTGTAGGTTTTTAAACGATAGGGGGTAAGGTGTCTTTTCACATTCTCGAGTGTTTGCGGGTTGAGGTTAAGTCCAAGGTTCGCCTCATAAAATTAGGGATCCGAGTGTTACTCCGCGTACCAACTTGGTTTCTTCGTCTAGATCCAAGAGCTACGTGGGATACTAGTTCATACCTCCGGGCGAGTTCGTATCATCTTGTGTCTCTGACTTTGATAAATTTGTGACGTAAGTGGGTATTTTCCACCATGCTGTTGCCAAGGAGAGATTGGCAGTTCCATGCTACCTGCGTAATGATGCATCCTTTCCCGAGCTCTGGCATCTTGGTCAATTTCTGAGCCCAACCAGAGTGCAAAGGGGAAGGTACATATCTTATTCCTGGCCTAACTGCCATATGTGCCTTTTGCTCTGAAGAGAGTGATTTTTTCAAATAAGCTCCTTCTCATGTGTTGTTACCTGGCTTTTACTATTAGAGAAGCAGCAGATATGTGAAGTAAATCCGAAGTTGACTTCTATGCAAAAGTTTTACTTATTTTGGTCTGCTAGTACTTGAATAAGTATTGGGAAAAAGAGGTGACTGCAAAGCAGAAATTTACACAACTTTTGTCCAATTTGTAGCAGGTAAATTGCTCTGGGGCATATTTTGAGAATATGGATCTCCATAGAAAACCAGAACAGTTTTCCAACTTTTGCAAAGTGCTCTTTCTGTCCTTTGATATTTTGTTATCCAAGTGTGTAGAATGTAGATGATGGCTTTTCCGAAAGAGTAGCAATATCTAATCTAATCTAATCTAAAATATATAAAAGGGGGAACGACCATTAGCTACAGTGCAGCCATGGGCCGGTTTCCACGGTAATTCGGATGACTTCATGGGGTATTTTGGTCTTTCCAATGTGGCATAAAGGTCAAATTTGTGGCTCTTGAATTTTCTGATATTGACTTTGCATTTTCTTTCTCTATAATGCCCTTGGTGGTCAGGTTTTGCCCGTAAATTTGGAGACTTGTGTGTCCGTTTATTAATGTTTGGTTAGCCTTTCTTGTAATTGTGACCATGTTTGTGCCCTTTTATTGTTCTTTTCCTTAACCTTATCGGGATTACCCGATGGGGTGGAGCTCGAGGAGTCAGAAATGCCCATTTTTCCTCTCCTTTCTTCATCGTTGTCTTACTCTTCAGCTCATCTTCCCATCAATCAGCCTCTTATTTGTCTCATCTTCTTCCTCTTTTCTTTTCTTGGTTTTTTTTTTTTTTTTGGATTCTGACCGAGAGCAACAACAAGAACACAATGGTCTGGACCTTTTTTTCCTTGTAAGACTCTTTTTCTTTCTTATCATCAAGACTTCTCTAGCCTTTTGGATTTTTTGGAGGGTTTACCAGCCGAATTTTAACATATAAAAATATGTATATATTTGTGATGTTGCAGGTCCAAAAATTTGGAAATGTCTTCCAACATTCAGCATCCTGATGAAAGTGAGATTGTGTAAATTTTTTTCCCAGGTGTAGAAGAAATTAGAGTATTACGGGTCTCCTCCGGCCTCAAGAGGGTTAAGGTTGGACTTGCATTTTTTCTCTCTCGACTTTGTTCTCTATATATTTTTTTAGTTTTTTCTTTCCTGTTATTTTGGCCATGTTTGTGGCTCTTATATTGTTCCTTTCATTTTCTTTATCGTAATAATACATCTAACCAACTCGATATAGAAAATGGCAAACAAAAGCACGAGAACGGAAAGCCAGCGGTCCAAGCAGAAAAGATTTTTTTTTTTTTTAAAGTGAGGATGCGATGCTGTGATTTCACTTTGAAAGTGTGAGAGCATTATAATTCATACCATCTGTGGTGCAGAAGAAATCAGAGTATCAAGAGTCTCCTCCGGTCTCAAGATCCTTAAGGTTGGAGCCAGATTTTCTGTTTCTATACAGACATTATTACGATGTATTGGGGATGATGACAGTCTAATTTTTCGTTTGACGAATGTTTAATCTATAGGCATTTAAATGATTGTTTGTGCAACATTTCATATGCTTTTACCCTTGCACCACTCTAATGATCTATCCCCAGTTCTTTCCCTTTCCCTCCCATTAAAGGAGCGGTCCACCATTTGAAACCCCTCCATAAACAACCACGGCTATGAATATCACTTGAGAAGTTTCACATTTACCGGGCGAAAAAAAAACAAAAGCAAAAGAAAGAGTAGAGGTTCCATGAACTATTGCCTCTGTTTCTTTTTCTTTGATTCATTCTTCAATTGTTAAATGTCAACTGTTGCGATGTATTCATTTGTCTAGGTTTCTATTTTGATGGATTTTGAGGTTTTGTAGGCAGATTAGAGTTTTATTGATTCTTAGTATGCTGAAGGATGCTTCTTCTGAAGTTACCTGTGTTGTGATATTATAATTCTATACCCTTTTTTTTTCCTGTGGTTTACTTGACATTTCTGATTTGCTCACTCCAATGCTTAAATTCTATACAATATTCAGGTTATAATGATAGCTGGAGCATCTAGATATCTCGAGCCTTTTCAATTTCAACATTTTATTAAGGTATCCTCAATTTGTTGCATTATTACTTCTTTTTTAAGGGATTCAAAATAAGTCTTGGTCTCATTACTATCTGCAAAGTTCTGCTTTTTGTGAAAATGGTTATTTTTTTTTTCATTTGTATGGCATCTTTAATTGAATTACACATGAAGTATAGAGAAATTCAACTAGCAAGAAAATAAAGTTTTTAGAAAATGTCAAAAATGGGTCAAATTTAGGAAAATTATATATGTGATGAATATCATTGTTAAGTTGTTAAGCTTAAAATGACTTATAAATCTCAACTTATTCAACCGTTGTTGTAAATCTCAGACTCTTAAAATATGTGTTGCTAAGTTATCTACATTTTCAAAACACAACTTTGTCAAATCCAGCATAAACCTTTCTGCATTTCATGAAGTATAATGACATAAAGGAGGGGTTGTGCTAACATTTCTCTTAATTATTTAAGTACTTTGCACAAACAGTATTAACATGGTTGAAAACATAGTTATATTAGTATTAACATATCCAAACACTACTAAGACAAACTGCAAATGAAACTTTGAAAACAAATTGACTTGAGTTCTTATCCTATGTTTAGAATTCTTTTTCTGTGGTTTATATCCTCAGCAATTAAACGCTTGCATATTGTATAAGCAAGTGCAAGATTTACTATAATCCCAAAAATGTGTCCTTTTCTTTTGGATCGACTTTCCTTTTTTTTTTTTTCTAATAAATCTAACGCATTCTTTCTTCTTTTGGCTATCTACATTGAATTCTTCTAATGTTACAATTGCAAAGCTTTATAAACATGTTAAGAAAAATATTTTTTTCCCTTTTTTTTCATTATGGAAACACCAAATCTCCTTAATTTTTATTTATTGCTTTAGGGAATGTTATCCTTGAATGTCGCACTAATATTGCACCAAATATTCATCCAAGTTATTTTTTAGAAAAACATTTACAAGAATTCTTACTTTTATCGCCTGTCAAGGGTTTTTTTTTTTTTTTTAATTCCTTTACCCAGCTTATCTGATTTGATTTTTTTTTTTTGTTTTTGTGGATAAATAAGGTGGAAGAAAAGGATGCCTGCAGCAAGTGATAAGTGACTATGATATAGGCTTTGAGATTCAACTCTCATAACACTTCAGTATTTGTGTTCACTTGTAGCTTTTCTAATATTGTTTGATTTTTAATTGTAGTAATACCCTTTCATATTACAGCAATCATTTGAAAATTAGGTTTATGGCATTTTGTAGTCTGATTCATGTCTCACAAGCTAGGACATATTTGTTAAAAGGACAAATCTAAGATCAGCTTACACCATCGTATTTCTAGCTGAAACAAAATGTCAATAGACAATCACTATATTTAGAAATGCTTTTGTAGAAAGGATCTACCTTTGAACCGACTGTCATCACATTTAATTGAATAAAAGGTCCATATATATCTACAAGTATGCAATTTGCAATTCTGCAGATGGCCATTTGCGCATAAAAAATATAAGCCCTAGACGTCTAACTCCCTGGCTTCGTCACTAGTTTAATTCTAATGTGGTAACATAAATTACAAATAGTTTTGGAGCAAAAGAAATAGTCTGCTCTTAAGTTCATTTACTCTAAAACCATCTCTAGTTTTAGTTCATAGTACCTCGTGAAATTTAAATAACAAATCCTCATTTTCTGATTTTCCATTTGTACCACAAAATTATTACTTGTCTTTTGGGTTATAATCTGCTTGAAGCTTGATACCAAGTGTATGAGATCTTACAGTTGACACTGGCCAATATGCTGAACCTGGTTGTACACGCTTCGTTGACTAGTGCTTCCCATGACTAATGATGATAAAGGGATAAAATTGCCCTTCTCAAGTCAGTCAAATACTATCAAAAGATGATTTTGGAGGGGAGGAATAGTTATTTTCTTTGGAATATGAAAATTTAAATTGTGACAACATAGTATAACTCTCCTATTGGTCTTCTTCTTAAATGAGTTTCATGCATACACCATAAGGTTCATGTTTCATGCATGGACCATACTTCATTGAGGACAGAGAAATGAATGAAGAGGGAAGAAAGTGGAAATGGAGCATGACTTGTATCAGAATTTATGTATCAATGGATGTCCTTATAGTTACAGCATTTAATACCAATTAATACCAGAAGAGTTTGTGATGTTTAATTTATGCAACGTATCCGTGGGATTCAGGTAATTGATATCAATGACTGAAGCCTCAATAGCTAATCTACAGCATAGCTAAATGGAACTACTAATATTTTGCGGGATAATTTCAAAAACATCTCCTGAGGTTTCTGGTTATTTCACTGGCCTTTCTCTAAATTTTGAAAATTACATTAATTTCTTTTGAGGTTTATTATTTTGTAACATTTATGTCCATCTAATAATTAAAAAAATGAGATTAGGAGAGAGATAATAATATGATTTTTCCATTGCTTCTCATTTACTAAATTGTTTAATTAATCTAGTACCAACCCAAACATTAAAAAAAATGCTTTTGTTTTCTTTTTATTATCAGGGGTTAAATCATATATGGCATTAAAAATAATATATCATTCTACATATTTCACTTGATGTAAGATTCAAATTATTTTTTTTAGTTATAAATTCATCGCCAAACATGATTAACAACAAATAATTAAAAAAAATGCAATTAAAATATTACAAAGATTGAAGTTTAACATCATAAAAATCTTACCAACTAATTTTAATATGTTGACAAGAATATTTATGATGTTAAAGTTTGTTTTTTGTAATACTTTGGTTGCAAATTTTTTGATTATTTGTTGTTGATCATGTTTGACAATGGTAGATAATTGAAAAAAATAATTTGAATTTTGTATTAAGTGAAAAAAATAAAATGATATACTATTTTTTATGTTATATGTGATTTGATCCCTAATGATAAACAACAAATTTTACTGTTTTTCTTTAATGTATGTGTTGGTATTAAATTAATTCAATAATGTAGTAGATGAGGAGCAATAATGCAAACATATTATTTTCTCTCTCATAATATCACTTTTTAATTATTGATTGGGCCTAAATGTTACAATATAATTAATCTCAAGAGAGGTTAGCGTAATTTTGAAAACTTGGAGGGGGGCCAGTGAAATAGTCAAGGGAGGTTTCTGAAATTATCACATATTTTGCACTAAAAATACTCTCGTAAAGCAACCCTTTTAAGAAAAGAAATGGATTAGAAGTATTTTTTTTTTTGAATTTATGAATTTCAATAACTAAATGCGATATGGTTGCGAAAAAGGTATTTCTAAATAGCAGTAGACATTCATTAATACACCTAACTTACCATATGAATACATATAATTACAATTATTACACCTCTTTGTGTTGCTGTCTCAAATTAATTACATTTATAAAAAAAAAACACTCGAATACCCTTCCTAACGGGTGCCTAATTAGCCAAACCATTGTAAAATTTGCACTACAACTTTACACCACAAAAAGGAAAATATCTTGTTTAGCATTTATTTTATGTCGAGCATTAGTTTAGTCAACAATTTATTGATTCTGCACCAAGTCTCAAGTACTCATTGACCACCAACTAATTACTAGAGCTTAAAATATTAATGTTTGCCAAGGAAAGAACCTGGCCTCGTAAGACAAAAATAGAATAGATAGGACAGAAATTTAAACCCCAGTCTACAAGCATTGGTTCCCCTTAGGTAGAGTGTGTGTGTGTGTGTTTCTACAGATTGCTGAGGAGGGGGGGGGGGGGGGTCTACAAGCATTGGTCCTCTAAAGACTATTTTCCACTGTTGTTGCCATGCTTTGCGGGTATGGTTCCTCAAGTCCAACATGTACAGTTGCCTCCAGGCCCTCCACAATCCACATGCTTGGGAAAAGAAAAAATATATTATTTTGTATGGGTGAAATTTATATTAATAAAAACTTTGCCATATTAAAAGTAAATTATAAGTGTTGATGTAATACAATAACAAGTTGCTTCATTGTTCTTTGGGAATTTAATACTGTTATTGATAAACAAAATCATCATAAAATATCTATTCCTCTGTTAAGTGAGTCAAAAGTGTCATTTTCTGATAGCAAGATATCTATTCTCTGTAGTATTTTTTTTGTTATTCTCATTAAAGTATTGTTTATTACCTAAGTTTGTTACTTGATTTCAAAGACAAATCATATAGAGTTATCCAAATTGGAAGAAATCTATGGTGGCAATAGAGCCAGAAAAAAAAATATTCATTTGGATAAATTAAATGATTTGCCAATCAGTACGTAGTAAAGACAAAAATACATGATGATTATCAGGATAATATGTGTGCCAAATTGATTATCTACAAGAAGGACCATAGCAACCGCAGGATTATAATTACCCACAAATGAAGTTTAGAAAGCCTAGAGTTGATTTCTTGAAGATTGGTTTAATATATATGGTTATAGCATATAGCAAACTGAAGTTGTTGCTTTAGCTGTGTACATACTTTCGTATGAAAATTGAATTTGAAAGCAAACTAATGTTGTTGCTAAAGCAATCATCACACTTTGTACCCCAAATTCATCATCTTATACATCCACACACTCAAAGCTTCTAAGTTCTAATTGACCATCACTTCAATGAGTTTGCGACGTACCGTTTAAGAATTCAAGGTTAAGAAATCCAATTGATAAACATACCAACCGAATGCCTAGGTAGTTTAACCGTTAATTATTGGTGATAACATAGATAATGGATTTAACTTAAGTTTCTTGTGATACACAAGTGAACTCCTTATCAAGCATCAAAGTAGCCCTGTCAATCGAATCATTTGAGTTGGATTTTAATAAACTCAAACTCGGCTCATATAGTTGATATCACTTTTGGACTTTGATTTAGGAGTTTTGGGTTGATTTGATATCACAAAAATTTGAGCTGTAAGCCGAATTCGGGTTTAGCCCAAACTCATTTATTGTTCCTTAATTTTTTTAATATAATTATTTTAACTATTAAGTTCTAAATCTAATTTAACATTGATAGAACCACAGTGTTAAAACTATATAGGGACTAGTAATAGTTATTAAAAGGTACATAAACCAAGAATTTTTCAACAATATAGTTCAAAGTACATGAAAATAATAATAAAACATAATCAACAATCACTACATACATATATATATATATATATATATATATTGATATATAATTCAGAAGTATAAAGTATTAATATTATAGATTTAGATATATAATTATATATACCAAAATATGAATATGATATATATACACACACACATATAGATTAAAGGGTTGGAGAAACTTTGTTATAGACATTTCTATACATTGAATGTACTCTACAGATAGAAGAATACGTAGAGTTGATCATAGTAAAATAAGAAATTGAAAGATTTCGTTGGATTTGTTCGTTTGGAAATTTCCCGAAAAGCTAATCATAGGTTCTTCTCTCCATCGGAACAATAGGGCCGTTATGCTCATTACTAAACTTATTGAAAAGATGAAATATAACCGAGGTATATCTTTTTGATCCAAGGATGACTCAATCATCAGAAGAGGAATTAGGCCAAAAATTAGGCCCTAAATCAAGTTTGAGCTTACTAAAATCCAAACTCAACTCACATTTAATTCGAATCTAATATTTAGGTTCAAATGCAACCCGACTCCATGAAAGGTTAGGCTTATCGAGTTTTTTTTCGAGCTGAGTGTGCAGGTTCGGGTTGATTCCGACCTCATTGACAGTCCTACCTCAAAGTTCTTTGATTCGCTTACTTTAGTGGCCATTGCCACAGGTGTTCAAAGTAGTGAACAACTAAATGGAGTTCGCCTGTTTGGATAAAAGATTATTTGAAATAATATTGTGGTAATTTTTATGATATGATGTATGTAAAATGAAAAGGCAATCCCCTACAAATAAATTCAAAAACTGATGAACTTAGATGTGTGTCTTCCCTAGTAGTAAAGGGGAGTATTATTAACTAGATTACTAGAAATTATTCAGCACGAATTACTTTACCAAATTTTGTGGGAAACTCCTTAGGGACTCCATAAGATTGGATGTTACAGCATGGAAAGCTAATTTATGTTTGACCTTATTAACAACTTACCAAATGGGCCAAAAAGATCAAGTTCTTTTTGGCTTATTCTCCTTCAATCTTAACTTTCGCTTAAATCTTATCCATTTCAAAGGAAACGCAGATTTCCCAAACTTCCAGCACATGTATAAACCGAACAATTAAAGTAAACTAAGGTATGCTACGCTGATTAGTTTTGAATCTCAAGATAACAGCTTCTTTAATCTTAAGAGAGGTGTGGTACTTCTGAGAAAATGACCTAAATAGTCCCTCTACTCTTTTGTTAAGGTCAAAATAGTCTCTTAATTTTATTCTTAACCAATTTAGTCCTTTAATTTTTTTTCGTAACTAATTTAAATTGTGAGAAACTGCTATAAAAACTATGTTGATTTTCAACAAACTCTAACAAGAATATCAAAACAATTATTGAAAAATCTCCAATATTTAGCTCTCGATCTGATCCAATTCTTTGTAATTTCCCCGACTAATTTTGGTTTTATTAATTTTATGAAAAGTTTTAGATGGTTTTTCCATTTTCCTCCCACTTTGACTAGTTTTGAATGGAAAAGACCTATTGGCTACAATAGAATATTTGAAGAACTAAATTGACTAAAAGTAAAATTCATTAACAAACTCGGCTTTCAGCCTTTCACAAAATAGTCACAAAATAGTCTAGGGACTATTTAGTTCATTTGCTCGGTAGTTATGGTTAAGGCTATCAATGAGTCAGGTTTGGACCCAGATCCGATAATTTTTTTCGGGTATGGATTAAGAATAATTTTGGTATCCATACCCGTACCCGTTTACTCTAACAAAAAAGCGGGTCAATTATGAAATATAGGATTCCGACCCATATTCAACCAAAACTCGAACAATACATTAATAATTATAAAATATAAATATTTCTAAATATATTCTTTTACTAAATTAACAAAAGTATTTTTTTTTACCAAATTAACCATATCCCAAATGAAGCATCTAAGAAATTAGAATTTGAAAGAGGCAAACTTGTTTGACCAGAAATATATTCATCACAAGTTGCATATAAGTACTTTTTGCTAAATATCTTGGGATCATGTTGGACTTTTTTGCTAACATGGATAAAAAAATAAATAAATGATACATGTTGGGTCTTTTTTTTTTTGGGTAGATCTGACCTCGACCCAAGACCCATCGGATCTAGTTCCAGAATTTTAATTACAAGATCCATCAGGCATATGGATCGATTCTGGGTCCAACACATCGAACCGTTGACAGGCCTAGTTATAGTGATTCACAGGTCCCAAGTCCCAACACCTGAACTTCTAGCAGTATAGTGGACGCACCAGAGAGGGAGGGACCAGTGAGAAAACAAAACGAGATGGATCCATTCCGCAAGAGGCTGCCGAAGCTCTTTCTTCAGAGTCATAAATGCCATCTCTCCTATGAAAACTCCTCATCAACAAAAATGATAGGGTCAATTAAACTAAAACCTAATTGAAAGAGGGTGCGTTTCACCTTGCTTCCTGTGATCTAAAATAACACGTACTTCACTTTGATATGAATTATAACTTGGCCACATTTCAAATAATTCATAAAAATTTGAGAGTTGATGAAATAATCCCTTTGCTTTTAAGAGTTTAGAGGGAAATAATTCAATTTGCATAAGAGTAGAGAAATTATAAAGAGCGATTAGATTATAGAAGTTGATGCCACTCATTGCACCCCCATCGTAGTTATTAACCATTAAGATGATTTTGTCGGTGAAATTTTTAATAAGAAAATAGTCAATCCTCCTAGCCTTTTTTCTTGTCATAGCGACTTCAAAATATTTAAAAAATTGAGAAAGACTTAAAAGGAAAAATTAAATGATGGAATATTTTGAGGATGCCTAGCCCTTCACAAAATTCTCCCAAACAACCCTAATGCCATATGGCAACATTTATTAAATGAAATGTTTCTAGTGTTAGCAAACTATGAAATCCATTCAAAAAAAAAAAAAAAAAACTATGAAATCAACATGAATTTTTTAAATTAAAATTTTACATTTAATAAAAAATCCTACCCTAATGGATTTACACGCATTGACCTCAAACTAATAGGAAACTATATAAAAATCAATTAAGTTTTAAAATTATCATGAACCATCTAAGTGTAAACACCAAATCAATCAAGAAAATCATTAGAACGATACGAATATCTCTATATATTTGGAATGGAGGGGGCAAACTGAAATTACCCCTCACTTTCAGGGAGGTCTAGCATAATTAATCGTAAAAGCCAAATCCTTATTTTTACCAGCCTTGGAAATCGGCCCGTGAATGGGCCACCACATCCACGAGCGTACTTTTGTCTTGCTGACAAAATCCGTAAATTTCTGATTGGAGCGTGCTATGGCGAGTGACTCAAGCGCGTGGGAAATCACTCTCTCCCAGCTCCATCTAAACAGTGCAAAGGATGAGCCAAAATTATAAACAAAACAAAAACAACTGAGCAGTGATAGTGAAAGAAGCCCAAGGAGTGAACTAAATGCAGCAGTAGTGACATTGGGAATTGCACAGCAGCAGCAGCAGTTGCACTGCACCACCACCCTTCAGTTTTCTCACACACTCACACACTAACGTTATAGGGTTTGCTTATCTCTGCAGTTTCTACTTTCTTGAAACTCAGGGGAACCCAAAAAAGAAAAAAAAAAGCCGCATTTTGTCCTGTTTTTTTGGCCTTTCAAGTAAGTTCTCAAGCTGTTAATCTCTTTTCTATTTTCCCTGTTTAGTTACTGGAAATGCTCCGTTTCTGTAGTTGAAACTTGCTAGTTGATTGAGTTCCAGGGAGGAAACGTGAGTTTTCCATATGGGTGGGAGCAATGGGGGTTCCTTTTCATGATATTTCAGTTTTCTGTCCATTCCCTTGTTTTGCGGTTTTGGGTTTCTGTCTTTTTGAGGGTGGGGTAAATGGGGTTGGTTTCTCCATGTGCTGGGCTAGCTGCTTGTTTGTATCCCTCCAAAGCTCTCCAGTTTTGGAGGATATCTATTACTTCTTTTGTCCCATTAAAAGTGTTGTATTTTAAAACGTAAGTAGGATTTTCACTGGGTGCTTGTGAAAGGCAAGAACAGAGGCATTGGTGGTGTAGTTTTCCATATCTAGGCTAGCTGCTTGTTTGTATCCCTCCAAAGCTCTCCAGTTTTGGAGGATATCTATTACTTCTTTTGTCCCATTAAAAGTGTTGTATTTTAAAACGTAAGTAGGATTTTCACTGGGTGCTTGTGAAAGGCAAGAACAGAGGCATTGGTGGTGTAGTTTTCCATTTTTTTTTTGGAGTCAGAGCAGGTAATTGAATTTTTTTTTTGTCTTTAGATCTTAGTTTGTTAGCTAGACAAAGCAAAATATCAATGATGCTTGATGGGTTTTTCTTTATTTCTTTATTTTTTATGTTTCAATGCCTGTTGTCTCTTGTTATCTTTCCTGCTATTGTTTTCTGTCCTGTTTCCAGGATGTGATTTATGGGTTGAGTGAGAATTTTCTCCTGATTTCCTTATTTTCTGGCAATTTGATACAGCAAAGAAGGAAGAAAATTAAATAAATGATCTTATACAGTTTCTATCAGCGACGTCAATTTCTTGTTAGAAGAAAAGCTATGTTTGTCCCAGCGAAAGCAGTTTTTTTTTTCTCATTATTTACAAATTTTTCCCTGTAAGTGATGTGGGTTCTTCGATCTTGATTTTGCTTAACGTTAATGATGAATACAAAAAGTATCTCTCTTATTTTTTTCAGTTATGTTAATATTTTATCTTTTTGTTGAAAGTCATGTTTGGTTTCTCTAGTTAATAGTAAGACTTTATGCAGAAATGTGGGTTGGAAGAGTCGTTTTCTTAATTATGATGATGCTATAGTTAAAGAGTCTAAGCAGAGGAGTAAAAACGAAGTAAAAGAAAAAAAGAAGTGAAAGGATGCCAACATAATCATATTTGTTGTTTTCTTCCATCTATCCCATTCTTTTTTCGCTTTACTTTTTTAGTCATTTTCTTCTGTTGGAGGTTTGGTTGGTGGGAGTAGTGGAGGTGGTTTCTATGGAGTTTCTTTGAAGGGATTATTGTGTTTGGTTGTTTATTTCTTGGCTTTGCTTGCTCACACTTGAATATGGACTAAAGGTTGGGTATCCTTGAAGAACAATTTTATTTGTCTGTATTCAGATTTATGTGTATGAGAGTTCTTTCTGAGCAAAGGTTTTCTTCTGAACTGTTATAGGTGCATTGGGTCTGGTGGGCCTTTGAAGAAGTTCCTTTGTTTGCCATATTCTTCCTCCACTGTACTGTAGAGTTACTTAATATGCAGACACCAAAAGGAAGGTACTTTGTCATTACTAAGGTTTTGGGGCTATCATACTCTGCTTTGACTTTACTAGTCTTCCTCTGCAAATCTGTCAAAATCTTTGTTTTCTTGTCCCTTAAGATCTGCAAATAACTAATTACATCCTAGGACTTATACAACCAAAACTTCAATATTAATTTCTACTAGCTGCATAAACCTGATACACTCTCTTCTTCTTTTTTTTAAAACATTGCGTATTTAGTTGATAGCAACATGCATTGTCTTTGATAGATAGCGCATTATGCAGCTGCACTATGATTAATGTACTGTTTAATGTTTCACTGCAGATTCCCAGTTAGCATTAGCTAAAAATTTGCATATATCCTTTCACTAAATTTTCATCTTTGAATGTGCCCAAGCATTTAGAGCTGTGCACCGTATCAGTAAATTATTTAATTGTTTCATGAGAAATATATCATTTATCAACATTATTTTGTTCTGAGTTGTCCATGATATGTCTTCTTTCTTGCTTTTGATAATTTCACCTCATAAACTCTGAGAACAGGACTAGTTCTTCAGAACTGCCTCAGAAAACATCTCCAGCCACTCCTCGGACAGCTCAGAAGCTCAAAACTCCTGGATCAGAGGCAGACTCAGTTTCAACTTCAAACTCAGCCGGGAGGATGTCAAAAGAAAGAAGTCCTAAAGTTGTTGATCGCAGGTCTCCTCGAAGTCCAGCAACTGAGGTACTTAACCTTAACCATTTTGGCAGATTGATCAGATACTTCTAGATAGTTGATGCATATTGAAGTTCAGTTTTTGCTCTCAAAATTTCACAGTTTATGTGGTCTGTATCCACATTCAAAATAAAGCTGATGCATAGTTTAAGAGTTGGTGCAAAAAGTCTGTGCCAGCATTTTAAACAATTTACTTGTCCCAGTTAGATATGAATTGCTGTCAGATAGTTCCCTCTCCACCTCATGGCACAGTGAATTGTATTATCCTTTTTATTTACCTTACATCTGGTAGAGATAGATCCTATAAGGATAGTTGCATGCTGTTTGTAGCTTGTCATTTATAACCAATTTGCGTTTCTTTTCTTTATCTGATTGCCTTTCTTAATCAACTTTCTGTCTTAAGGCATTAATGGTATTTGAATTAAGTGTTCGAATATCTGCCAATTTTGTGCCATTTCAAATCTTTTGGCATCTTGTGCTTTCTTGTGTTTCTTTGTCTGTTCTTGGTGGATGCTTTTCCTCCAGTACTTTGTCTACCATACATCTGATGGGATTATTTACCTTTAATCTATGTGTAACAAACTGCCCCTTCCTCAGAAGAAACGGACAACTAGAGTTAGTGATTTGGAAACTCAGCTTGCCCAGCTCCAAGAGGAACTGAAGAAGGCAAAAGACCAATTAAGCTCATCTGAATCAAGGAAGAAAAGGGCCCAGCAGGAGGCTGAGGAGGCTAAAAAGCAACTTGAAGCCATGTCAGAGAAGCTTGAAGAGTCTGAGAAGCAGTTGCAGGAGCTATCGGATTGTGAGGAAGCTCGGGTGCAAGAGTTGCGCAAGATCTCACAGGATAGAGATCGGGCATGGCAGTCGGAACTTGAGGCTATCCAAAAGCAACACTCTATGGATTCTGCTGCTCTAGCTTCTGCCATGAATGAAATTCAGAAGCTTAAAATGCAACTTGAAAGGGTAGCTGAATCTGAAGCAGCTCAAGCTAGGCATGCTGAATCAGCTCATGCTGATGTTCAGAACTTAAGAATGGAACTTACAGAAACTCTTGCGCTGGTAGATGAAATAAAGGCTCAGTTAAATGACAGCAAAGAATCTGAAGTTCGGGCAATGGAAGAAGTAAGTAAAGCTCAAATGCAGCTGGAGGAAGCAAAGGCCACGGAGGACACGCTTCGCTCAGAAGGTCTCAGAGCTGAGGAGGCTTACAAGTCCTTGGCCTTGAAGTTAGAACAATCAAAGATGCAAGTCAATTCTTTGGAGGAACTTGTTAGTAGACTGCAGGCTGATGTTAACAAAAGGAGCAATGACTCATCAGCTTCTTCAGGTGATGTTGAAATTGCAAGGGAAAAAGAAGGAGCTGAGAAGTCAGAACAGCTTAAAGTTGAGCTCAATAGTATAAAACTTGAGGTAGGTCATTTGAGAGCTGCATTAGAGGCATCTGAAAGAAGATATCAAGAGGAATACATTCAAAGTACCTTGCAGATTAGAAGTGCATATGAACTGGTTGAGAAGACAAAGTCTGAATCATGTCAGAGAGAGGCTGAATTGGAGGCTAGGTTGAAGGTTGCAAGAGCTGATGTTGAAGAGTTAAAGAAAAGACTAATGGATAAAGAAACTGAATTAAAGAACACTGCAGAGAAGAATAAAGGGCTAAATGGAAACGTAGAGAGAGACCAGTGTATTCAACAAGAACTTGGAACTGAACTGAAGAAATCTGAATCAATCGTGGAAGCCCTGAAAGCAAGTCTGATGGATAAGGAGACAGAGTTACAGAGTGTTGCTGAGGAGAATGAAATGCTGAAGTTGGAAATTAAAAACAGAGAGCTAGAAAGAAGTAAATTGAATGATGAAGCTCTTGCTTTAGTGGAAGCTGCCAGGGCCACAGAGCAAGAGGCCCTATCGAAGCTCAGTTATCTGACAGATGAAGCAGATCAAAGTAGTAGAAAGACAGCAAGGGTTACCGAGCAGCTGGATGCTGCACAGGCTGCAAACTCCGAAATGGAAGCTGAATTGAGGAGATTAAAGGTGCAGGCAGACCAGTGGAGGAAAGCTGCTGAGGCTGCTGCCACAATGCTTTCAACAGGTAATAATGGTAAATTTGTGGAGAGGACAGGTTCTTTGGACTATCACACTCTTGGAGGAAAGTTGAACTCACCTTATTCAGAAGACTTGGATGATGACTCACCCAAGAAGAAGAACAGCAATATGTTGAAGAAGATAGGTGTCCTGTTGAAAAAGGGTCAGAAATAGCTTCAAGCTTTTCCAGGTTGCGTCTGTTGCTGCACCAATTATTTATTTATTATTTTACCTTGCCTGAAATTTCTTCACGGAATTATATCTTTTACATTTCTTTCCTTGCAGACATGTCAGCCAGTATCTACAGAACCTCGTGTTGCAACTGCTGATGTTCCTGAACTTCATTGGAGTTGCAATAGCTCATAAGCAGACATTGTATAGTATGTAAAAGTTGACCATCACCAGAAGCAACAATATTGCTAAGTTGCCTGTACGGCCATTTACTGTTGGATGCAAGAAGATTTGTAATATCATTTACCAAGCTATTTTGTTCAAGGCAGGCAATCTGCTGATTTATTTTCATCTTTTGGGTGATGCTAGAGTTTGCCTGATCTATTGACTCGAGCAATTTGGTACATTTTCCAGAAATTTCAGATTTTACTCAGCAAATGTTTAATTTGCATCCTTAAAGGTATCTTACTGCCTAGTTCTTTGTACTTGAACCTTTATTGAAATTCTACATGGCATTACATGACTTGTTCCCCCTTCATGTACCAGAGGTTCAAACTATTATAACCATTCACATGTAAGGGTGTCAATTGGGTTTTTTGAGCTGGGCATTAGGAAGTCCAAGTTTGGCTCACAAATTATATGGATTTTTGGGTTTTGGACTTTTAGGCTTTAGGCTCATATTAAAAGGTTCAATTTCAGCTTACACTATTATATGAGGTTTGGACTCAAATTAAGCTTGTTCAAACTCATAATTAAATACATAATTATATATAATATATATGTTAAAAATATGAATTGTTACAAATTTATATATAAATCAAGTCATTAGCATTTTACGTCGTAATATGCATAATTATCAATTATAAATATTATATATATTTTACATATATAATTATACTCATATATGAGCTGAATTTTAATCAATATGAGCCTAGTATGACTCAAACTCGCCTCATATTTAATTTAGGTATAATATTTAAGCTCAATCTCTGTTCAAACGAATTAAAACTTAGATTCAGCAAGTTTTTTTGAGCTCAACCTTGTTGAAGTCCCATTCACATGGATACACTAGCCTAACCCCCTCCAATCCACTCCCACCCCAAAGGAAGAAATGGCAGTAAAAATTCTCAACAGATGGAAAAAGGGACTTAAGATGTGGAAAGAAGAAGTGGAACGAGTTTTGTTAGTTTTGAGGTATTGAGACCAGATTTTTACTTCTGGCATACAATGTATAAAAAGGTTTTACACGAGATAATTGAGAACTATTTTTGCTTATTTTACTCATTTTGGTTTTAGCTCAACTGGATAAGCTAAATATAAGTCAATTCAAAGCTTTAAATTAATGACAATTAACTCACATACTTTCACAATTATAAAAGATGCATCAAATTCTAAAAGATACTTTTTGATATCACATAGAACTTCTGCAAAAATTAACAAAGAGCTATTCTTACTTTTCTTAGAATTTTTAATTCAAAAAAATTGCTTAATTTTTTTTTATTTGTATTAGTAGATACACTTGGCGCATTACTCATGGTTTTTACAATACATGATAATTAAATTTGCCAAATTGGTGCCTTGTGTTGGTTTTTTTTTTGTTATTTTTCTTGTTAGATCTGAGATTTCTTGGATTTCTTTTCTTTTATCTTGAAGTTTTGAAACCTATTCTATTATATCTAAGCTTTCACTTTGGATTTGGAGCAGTTTCACATTAGATTTAGCAAGTGAAAACATGCACATATTTGGCCTGTATTGATTCATCTCATGTGGAAAGATTTTTTGTGAAACTTTATAGGTCTATTTTTATTATTTTTTCATAGATTTGTTGTATCTAGTGATTTTCAGATTTATTTGTATTCATTGCATATTTAATGTATTTTTGGTCATTAATGCATATTTATGGCAATCAAATTACCTTCCTTATATATGAAAAGAAAATCTCAAATTTGGTGAATTATTAGTTGATGCCTATGCATTCATTTAATGGAAAATAAAAAAAGCTTCTTGCCTTTTTTTTGGCACAAAACTAACAAGTGAAATACTTAATGAGTTCATTAATATTTTTTAAAATTTTTATAAAGTAAAAGGGCTTGTAAAACCCATCATTGAGCCCTTGATGTTTCTTGTATCCATAAGGATCTAATTATGAAGTATATGCGAACAATTCTCTAATCACATAAACAAATATAGTATAGAAGATTAAAGTTACAAATAAAGCATATTGTATAGAATTTCAAGCAAAAAAGATTAGATATCAATAGCTGACTTTATAATTTAAATTATTATTATAATACAAGTATATCATTGAAAAGATCAGTAATTTAAGCACATGTACATGATATAATTTTAGAATCACTATAGTCTCTTAAAAAAAATAGCACATATTACAATACAAAATATTCTTTAGATTATAATAATGTAAATGCATCGATGTATAGTAACAAAGAGATTATAATAATATAAATACATCAGTATATAATAATAAATCAAAATGCTTACAACCATTTAAATTGGTTCAGTGGTCAGGGAAAGACTCTTAGAATCTTTCCTGCCGTCAGATTTAGTGTTTAGATAGTAGAAGGTGGGAAGGACATGGGAGACTTATAAAAATGACCACTATAAGAAAAATCAAACTACTTATAATTAATCTTCTTTTTCAACATAAGTAGATAACGTGCCAATATCATTCGGCCAAAAGTTTCGTCGTTCTCTCAGGTGCCGCGCATGTGGGTTGGCAGCATTATGTTGTTCGCGCATGGCGCGACGGGTTCCGCTCTGTTATAGTCTTCTCTTCTGGCAATAGCCTATGTGCCTCCTGCTGCGTTGTCTGCCGCATTGATAGACTTGTTTCTCTATCTGGCGGTATCCCATGCCCCTTCTTTCCACTACCTTCTCTCTCTCTCCTTCTTTTGGACAATATTGCTCTGTTTCTTATCCGGCTGTTCTGAGCCCTGCTACAAGAGGTTCTCTTCTTACCACGCAAGGAGCATCGATCCTCAGTCTCTCGCGTTCTCTGGGTTGCAGTGGTCCAACCGTTTGGTTCTCTTTCTCCTCCTCCATTGTAAGTTTTCTTCTTCTTACTTTCCGGTTAGGTGCAGAATTCACTGTGAGATTTCTCTGTGAGTTATAGCCTGAAGTTGATATTTTTGTTCTTTGTTCTTTGTTTCCCTTTTTGAACTGCGCAAAGGTCATCGAACCTCTGTCTCTCGCGTTCTTTGGGTTGCAGTAGTCTAGATCAGCTGCCATCCGTTCGCTTCTCCTCCTCATCCTCCTCCGTTGTACGTTTTCTTCTTCTTCCTTTCCGGTGAGGTGCGGCAGGGGTGTGCAAAATTGAAAAATTTCGATTTACCGACCGGGAATTTTCGAAATCGGTAATTCGGAATTCGGCACTGAAATCGGAATTTCCGATTTCGAATTATGCGAATTTGGTTCGAATTCGGTAATGGAGTTTTTGAAATCGGAAATCGAAATCGAAATCGAAATTTCCAATTTCAATTTCATTTTATAATACATATATTAATATTTATTTATTTATATATAATAATATTTTTTATTTCAATTTCGTTTTATAATATGTATATTAATATATATTTATGTATATAATAATATTTTAATAATATATTTATATATAATAATATTTTTTATAATATATGTAATATAAAATTTATATTATATAACAATACATCTAACAAAAAAGAAAAAAAAGGAAAAAAGTTCCCAAATTCGGTGAATTTGGAATTTACCGAATTCCGAATTGAATTCGGAATCGAAATCGAAATCGGAACTGGTGAATTCGAAATCGAAATTGGTCGGTAATTCCTATACCAAAATTTCGAAAAATTCCGAATTCAAACTTCCGAATTACCGAATTCAAATTCGATGCACACCCCTAAGGTGCGGTCTTCGTTGTGAGTTTTCTCTGTAATATTTTTTGTTCTTTGTTTCCCTTCTCGAATATCTTCTATTCTGCTCTCGGCAGAGGTACTCTCTTGCTCTTGTTGAGCTGTGTGTTTGGATTTTCTTCCCTTCTACTTGCACTGTGTTTGGTTTGGTGGTTCCACTGTTTGGTCTACATGGGTTTGATATTGGCCTGTGTTCCTGAAGGCCCCTATGGTGGCTCACTCAGAAACACGAAAAATGTCGACCATGCGTAGTTATACGTTTTGTCATGTGATAAGTATTTGTCTTGTGGGTTCTCTAAAAACTATTCTCGTTTACATGGGTTTGATATTGGCCTGTGTTCATGAAGGCCCCTGTGGTGTCTCACTCAGAAACACGAAAAATGTCTACCATGCATAGTTGTATGTTTTGTCATGTGATAAATTTTGGTCTTGCGTTCTCTAAAAACTATTCTCGTCTGTTCGTCAACAAAATGAACTCTGTTGTGCTTTGTTCCAGACGTTACGGTTAGGGATCTGCTTTAGAGTAGTGTTGACTCATTCATAATTTTTTTTTTCTTGTCTTCTCTATATAATATGTGTTGAATGCATTTTTTTGCGTTGCTTCTCTTTTGTTTGTTCCATAGCAGTTCCCTTTGCTTTTGATCCTGTTAGCAAAACCTAGGACCTGTCTTTAGCACGTTTTTTAGCATTGGATTCTCCCTCGGTTCTAAAACTGATTTCCATTTTTGCCTTTTTAGCTGACCATGGAGCCTTTACATGTGTCCGAGATCCATAGTTCCCTACCCCAGTGGACTTCTGTGATCTAGGTCATAGAGGCATCTCCCCCTAAAACTACCCATGCAGACCGTGCGTCAAGAGTTTATCGCCGCTTTGTCTTTGCTGATTCGCACGTACGCATTGTTTACTTACCTGTACTCTTCTTCTGCTTGTTTCTTGCTTTGCTTCTGTGTGTTTTTTATTTGTTTCTTTCGTTTTGTGGTGGATAAGGTGTGAAGGTTTCTGCTGTTGCCATTGACGCTTAAGAATACAGTCTGATGTGTTGTGATTTATTAGAAAACTGAACATGTAATCTGAAAAGTAGAATGCAGCCAGTTGTTCTGTCTCTCTGGAACAAGTTTGTTGAGTCTAGAGGCAAGATTCTTATGCAACTGTTAAAAAAGAGGCCAGTTCTTATTTGCCGCAGGCTCAAAGTTGTCTCTTATAATGGTATTGCTACTTCGCTTGCTTGTCAATTTGTATATGTGCTAGCATATTTCATTGTCTTTTCTGATCTTATAGTACCTTGCATTCCTCTCTCTTGCAGGAATTGCACTCTCCACTAGAAACGATTCGGTGCTTCTCATTGATCCACCTGTTGGAGATGCAAGCCAGTTGAAAAATTGGTTAGTCTGAAATATTTCTCTTCACTTTCTGGCTATTCCAGACTTATCAAATCGTATATTGTATCTGCTAATTGTGTACTTGCTTTTATCTTCTATCGAAGGGCAATGAGGAATGAGAGCCAGTTTGCTACGCTGGTTCAGGAAAAAACGTATAACATGCATAGTCCAACGTATAACATGCATAGTCCGAGTATGTTTCATCAGTCAAAACACAAGTTTTGTACGATACAGGCTGTTCTAGCAAATCAGAAGGTCCTTATATTAAATTATTTGCAAAGCTTTTAGAAACCAGAAAATTTGCCGTTCATTATAGTTTTTATTTGGATGTTTACAGCTCTCGTGGGTGAAAGCTCGTTTCTGTTTCCAAAACATATTCCACAAATATTGGTATATGTCTTGTGTTAAGTGTCATCGTCAGACATCGGCCAATTATGGGCACACTTTTACCTGCAATCACTGTAATGAAAGGCAGACTGCGACCCTAAGGTAAGCTATATATTCCTGTTTATTGAACATGAATCTTTACTGTGGAAGCATTTCCTATTTTTTTTTCATGGTGTTTATCCTTCGAACTAGGTGTCGCTTTGATGTTGATCTCATTGATGATACCGGCGTTATGACAGCCTCTGTATTTGGTGAATTAGCTGAACAATTACTTGGAATTTCTGCAGTTGCGGCAATGGATTTTTATAACAGGTTTATATTTCACTGCATAAACTGATGCTCTACTATGTAAACCAGAACGTCCATATTATGAAACCCTTTGTTGCTGCTTCTTACATAGCCATTTTGTTTAATTGATTCTTAGAACGAAGAATTCCCACTCGAACTAACCCATGACACATTGAAGTCGAAGACATTCATTGCTCAAGTTAAGCCTAGAAACACCAAAGATGATGGGACTTATCAGCGCTATACGATTGTTTATTACTTTGAGGACAACAAAGACTATGAACTTCTTGAGGAACAACCCCTGAGTAGTTCTCAGGTGGCCAGTCAGCTTTCTGTAGCTGATACTCCAGATTGTTGCTAAATACTTAGCCGTATACTTATTTAAATACTCATGCACGATTCTTTTTATGATAACTCTTTGATTGGTTTATTGCATAGAAAAACCATGCTTTTTTTCCAAGAACTAGCTCTGCTTTGATAGGAAGCAAAATGTTTCTGAAGCTGAAAGTCAATCTTTTGCAGTTAACGTTTCAGGTGTCTCCTATCCCTTCCAGTAATCCCTATTTTCCATCTTTGTTGGGTATTCTTTAAAGATAAGTTTGCTTCCTGTATAGATAAGCCGTGTGGTTTCTCAAAGACACGCGTTTGCCTTGCAAAAAGAATGGAGCTCAGCGAGGAAGCCGAAGGCACTATATCAGAATCTTGTGATATTGCGAGCAGCAAAAAGCCAAGGAATGCTTGATCTGCTTGTCCTCATCAGAAGGTCTTTTGTCGTTACTCTTGCTGCTGTGTATGCCTATCTAGGCATACACTTTTATTAGATACTTTATCATAATCCTGTGATTTCACAGGTAGCACAAAAACAAGTAATGCTTGATCTATTAGTCCTTATAAGAAGGTCTTTTGTCATTACATTTCCTACTTTTGTCCAATGGTCTTTTGTCATTGTATTGTCTACTGTGTAAACTTAGTTTACTTGGCTCTGTTGTCGATGGTCTGTCACTAGGAGCGTATTGAAGACATTTAAGCCGCTTTATGTATGGCCTATTTCCAGCTTATCTATCTACCATATGTTATTATGCTTATTTTTCCTTATTTGATCGCTGAGCTAAAGGCACAGCTTTCTGAGAATCAATTGCATTGAATTTCATATACTTGCGTCCAGAGATATAATGTTCCTGCAGCTGCTCCCAGCAATAAAGCCTCTTTAAAGCAATGCACACCTAACGTTTGCTAGCCAATAGAATTGCCCTTTTTCTACCAGCTTCATTGATTATAATCCTGCACCTTTTCCACCCTGCTGATCATGAACGTCTATAAAGTGCCTAATCCTGCTTTTATCTTTTGATAGACCACATTCCATGTAATCTTTCACATACCAAATTTCCTCCTTGCTCTTGACTCTTTTATGCATATTGCTCTTTCCATTCCGTCATGCCAATGGCCAAACCCAAAAACCCTTTCAAAAAGTGGAAAGCAGTATATCTCAGAGACAAAATTCGACACTACCTTTGCACCTTCGGTGGCTGTCAAGTTCACGCCGCAACTGTTATCCAATCATATCAAGGAAAAGCATTCTATTCTCCCAAGAGGAGTTTCTTTAAAGCCTATCCAATGGTTTTAAAATACATGGGTGAACCCTCGCTGTACTCTCTTGCCTCAGTTGAATAGTGGTTGCAAAATATCATTGATATTTGTTCTGAAGCTTTTGCACCAAACCGTGCGTTCCTTGCTTTCTTATGGCATACATGCGATTCGTTGCTTGTGATGATAAATTATAGTTCTTCTGCTCTTTATATTTTTTTAGATTGCCATGCGCCTTTGATGAACAAAGTTCCAAAAGGAAATCCGTGGTGTTACATTATGATGTGTTCGAATCTGCAGAAACAAGTTTCGTATATTATCTTGTAAAAAAGAATAGGGAAAAAAAATGCTATAGCTTGTACCCTTTCCCTAACATCTACATTTTCTTCTCCCCCCTCCCCCCCACAGAAAATTCCCGGTTCTATTTTCAAATCAGCTTGCTTCAAAAACGGCCAAATTATGAAGTTATTCCATGGAATCGCTGTTTGGCATGTAACAATCAATGATGGGTGCTTTGAACAAGGCTGGGAATCCTATAGCACAGATAACCTGATTCACAAATATGACTTGCTTTTCCTGCAATGTAGAGGGAATTTAGCTTGCGATGCGCTGGCTTTTGGCACAACACAAATCCTCACATTGATGCCATGGACACTGCCTTTGCCAATGGTGCCAAATTATCAAAAAAACCAACCAGGAAATTATTCTCTTCTGCAGTCTTTCTCCTTATTTTGCTTTATAGCATTCATGTTCGTTAAAGGCAATTGATTTTCATGTAGATTCTGCGGTTGTCGAAAACTCGAACCGTATTACATCATCCATACATCCATTCTTCGGCCATAATCTGGCGGCATTTACTACTTTCTACCAATTTTATACTAGATGCCATAGATACACGTTGGTGAGCATACAACTTTCTTTTTTTTTGGATTTTTTTTCCCTGTTAGTCATATCTTATACTTGGTTATTAACAGACCCTTCCACAATATATAACCCCGGGATTACATGAAGCCAAAACTCCAACTACCAATATCGCTAGTGGACACTGAACATATAGTCTTGGAATAACCGCGGCAACATTTGATCAAAATTGGAGCACGTTCTTTGCAGACCATGAACTTCGAGATGGCGAAGTTCTTCTCTTCATTCCACAATCCAAATCCTGTTTTTCCATCATCATCATCTTCAACCTGTTATTTCTCAGATGTCCTTCAACGTTTCTAAAAAAACCTTGTATGCCTTAATCAGCTTTGAACCGTTGTTTTACAGCTTTACTGTTAACTCCGTTTTCCTTATTTTCCTATTTATATCGCCTTTCTTACACTATATGTTCAGTCTGTTCATGCAGCATTCAAGCTCATCATACTGAGCTGGGCATTCACACTTTTATTCCTACCACGCAGCGCGCGGTTCTTGCCTCCTAGCTTTGTTGAATACAATCAAACCATCATTGGATACCAGAACACTTTGTTTATTTTTTAATTTTTATAAAAGGAAAAGGTATATAATAACCATTATTGAGCAATCGATGTTTCTCGTGTCAATAAAGACCACACTTTGAAGCATACACTAATAGTTCTCTAATCACAATAAAAAATATAGTATAGCAAATTATAGCTACAAATAATGCAGATTGTATAGAATTTCAATTAAAAAAGATTAGATATCAATAATTGACCTTATTATTTAAAATATTTTTTAATACAAGTATATTAGCGAAAAGATCCATAATTCAAGCATTTGTACATGATGTAATTCTGGAATCTCTATAGTCTCTTCAGAAAAATTAATACAGATGACAATGCAAAATATTCTTTAGATTATAATAACGTAAATGCATCGGTTTATAGTAATAAATCAAAGTATTCACAATTAATCTTTTTCCAATGAAATGTGTTTAGCTTTTTGGTAAGTTTTGTTCTATGGGATGCTTTTTCCCTATACATTTTAATGTTTGACATGTACATTATTTGGTTATGAGTGACATAGAATTTTATTTCTTTTAACCTTAATAAAGATTTTATAAATTTTATTAAGGTTAAAAAAAATAAAATTCTACGTCATTTTAATTTTCGAAGGGTGCTAGATCTTTTCTTACTTTTTTGGTTAAATAAAATTTCAGATTACGTGGTTTGATTATTCACTTATTTATCATTCTCCTTTCCTTATTTCTCAACATCTTTACTTTTAAAGTACTCATTTCACCAAAAAGCCAAAAATAAATACTAGATTGAAATAGTCCAAAACTTTGAAGACTAAAATAGTAATTCCACCGACCATAAATGTGAGAAACTGTGGAAACTGCAAAGACATAAATAAGCGCCTGCTTTCTTATCTCGAAACAAAAACCTCTTTTCTTTCCCTCGTCTGAAAATCCCCTCTTCCTTCAATTTCAACTCTCTGCTTTCTCTTGACTTTGCTCTTGATTTTTCGTCCAAGCAGAAGAGGAAACAAGAAATAAGGTAATATGCTACTAGTAGATATCCTTTGATGCTGTTGTTCTTTACTGCTCTCACTGGAGCCCGACATTGCATTTATTTGTCAATAAGACGGAAAGATTGAATTTTTATTGTTCCATCAACAGCAAAAAGATTGTTGTCTTTACAGAGTGCTAAACTTGTGTATGTTTGGTTGAAATCTTGCAGGGTTTTGTGCTAAGTTTACTTAGATGATCAAAAGACTTCAGTTTTAAGCTGATAAGACAATTTTTCCTACTTGAAAAGCAAGAAGGTAGATCTTCATCTGCTTTTTGTCAAGTTCTTTTATCTTGGAATTGCTAAATTCTATAAAGGGTTTCTGAAAAGTTATGATTTTGATGTACTTTGGTTAAGTATGGAGTTAGTTGCTTGAACTTGGATAATTACTAGTTTGTAAGTACTAGCTCAAGTTTTCTTTTGTCTTTTTGTCTTTTCAATGAAATGGGGAAGCCAAGAAGCTGGAGTGATGCTCTGGCTTGATGTTTCTTCTCCTGTTGTATCTTTTCCAATTTCTATATTTTTTCTTGTTTTTGTTTAATTTTTCCTGTTAGTTTCTAAATTTGAAGATGCTGAAAGCAGTTACGAGATTTGTTCTTTATGTATCTGTTGAATTCCATATTGTCAAGCCTAAAGCTGTTTCTCTACGAAGTACAACAAGTCTTAGAGGAAAGTTATTTTCTTTATCCAAATCAAAGGCAACATCGGCCCAGTGTTAACTAGTTGTTCTGATGTCATAAATGTGCCATTTTAATTAGTAGAACATGTAAAAACTGTGTACTGGGTTTTTTGATGTATAGGCTATATCAGAAATTTTGATCTATTTTTACCTTGTACATTCAAGATGTGGTTACGTTTTGTATATATATTTGTGGTTGTGTATATGATGTTTGATGTTGCTGAATGCACTGATGTCTAACCATGGCTAGTATTGCATATGGGTGTTAACGAGCTGAGTCAACTGTACCAAAATTGGAGTGCTCGAGTTGAATTTTCAAAGTTGAGCTCCTGAACGTGTACTCAAGGTAGATTTGATTAAAAAAGGAAAAATTAACTTACTCCACCTCAACTTGAGTAAGCTACAGAATGAGTCAAGGCTTATTGAGCCTGAGTTCAAGCCTATTGAGCTCGATTATTATGGAATAATGGAATTCTCAAGAATAGATAGAATAAAACTTTTCATGAATTATGAGCTCAACTCAAGTGATGCTCAAGCTGCATTCTAGCTCAACTCAAGCTTGGTCAACTCTAAGTCCAGTTGAGCTGTTGACCAAGCTGGTCGAAAGCGGCTTGCAAGCAACTTGGTCCAACTGCCCCTATTCGCAGTTTCTTATAATTGTTGGTTATAGCAATTATTGGTGTCCAAGACGCTATGCCTGTTTTATGTTGTTTAATAAAACAGTGGCATTTAGATCTAAAAATGTGGTTAAAATGTTTAGTTCAGCTGCAATTCGATAATCTCTTTTAAAGTATCTATGATTGTGTGTTTTGCATTTTACTCTGGAACCTATTTAACATTGTCTCAACTGCATGTCAATGTTGTCCACTCTGTCTATAACTCAGACTTTGTAACCATTCATATTCGTTCAATTCCGTGAACTACTGTCCTTGTTGCTCCGTGTTGTTTGGGAACCCAAAATGTTGCTAGAGCTATTAATAACTGGTACTCTGCTGTCTAAAATAACTGAGTTGATTGAATTGAATGAAGCACGTGCTGTCTTTTCCTCGTAGCTTTTAGGTCTGTTGAGTAATCTCTGATCATTCTGCATTGAAGAAGCTGACTCTTATTCATGAGGATTTTGGAGTCAATTGATTGATTAATCTTGAAAAGGAGTCTTCTTTCAATTTCTTACCTTTTTCAAACACTGATAACTCATAAATGTTCTTATCTGTACCTGTAATATTTAAATAGAATACTTCTTATCCAGTTCAAGTCATTCCTTGTTATAACCCTAGAGACCTAGTTCAACCCATAAACCTGATATTAACGTGTTTAAAAATGCATGACTTTTCCAATTATTCCTGGAGTTCCAGGCACAATTCAAGATGATTTTTTCCCCTTTAGGATTGTTTCAGAGACTTGACAATCATTTCTTTTTCTTGAATTTCTCTCTGATGGTTTTTTCCCCCCTATGGGTATTGACATAATGAAGTTTTTAGTTCCAGATACTGATTAGGAATTCTGAGTCCTTTTATTCATGTTTGTGGGTCTTGTAAATAGTTGCATTGACTGAACAAAAGATACTTTGTGTTCATTTTCTCAGCTTTATGGTGATGTTTCATTGCTGAATCTGTTTGACAGTTTCTAGTGTTCTTATGCTGAGTATGTGATCACAGTCCACTTATTTCTAAGCATGGTCTTCAATCTTGATCAGTGCTGAATCCTGGATTATATTGTTTGATCTCATATGATGTACTTGTAAATACCATTGACACTATCAATCTTGAAGTTCTCAAGTCTTCTTTTGGAGATATGGTAAGCCATAGTGATTCTGTCGTGTCCTATGATATTCCTATTCTCTTTGGCTAATGGCATCAGTAATGTCCTTGTGTAAATTGTGTATATGTATCTTTTGAAATCAAAATGAAGCCTGTAAATACTTTTTTCTTCATTTATGAGATTTGATCAACCTTCATACAATTGGGCAGGTATACATACTGCTGTGAATGAGTAAAGTTGATACTGGTTAATTGTTTGTTTCCAGATAAGACATTGGTGCTATGGGAGGACCCACATCATGCTCCTTTACAACTAGTGCCTCTGGATGTCTTGCACAAATTTGAAATTGTGCAACAGCATGTTGGAGCCATAGGTATCATGTGGCGTGGATTGATAACCTTGTTGATGTCTAGTAGCTTTCATGTATCTTTATTTTTTATTATTGTTATTTTCAGGAGATTTGATATATAGTGTCTAGCTAAAGATTTAGCTACTTTGCAGCTGGGTTGTGTTCCCCATGCTTGATGAGTTATATATATGTGCGTTTGTATGTATGCATATATGGTCCAGTCTGTGCCTTTTGGATTTCTGTTCTGGCATTTCTTGAATAACAAGCTGGTATGCGGTCCAGTCTGTGCCTTTTGGATTTTCTGTTCTTGCATTTATTGAATTATAAGCTGGTTGTCATGGATTTTTTTTTTTATTAGTAAGGATGTGTTTACTTAGTAAGGATGTGTTTAATTATAAGCTGGTTGTCATGGATATTTGTTGAGATATGCCAACTTTTCCTACAGATTTTGTTAGATTATGTTTGGTATCAAAATAATTTAGTTATTAGAAGAATAAGGATATTTGTTAACCAAATATCATGTTGGTTTGTTAACAAATATTTTTGCTAAGATTTGCTAGTAGAAGAAGATTATATTTTCTTGAGACTTTTAGGATAATTGTTAACTGGATATTTTGCTAGTTTGTTTCATGTAATCACTATAAATAGTGAGTTGATGAATGAATAACACAAGCTTATCTTCAGCTTCAATACAAGTCTTTTATAAGCTTTTTTTCGCAACACTAAGGTGATGTTTCTTAGTTTATGCCCCAAAAAACCAACAATATTTTTTTAATTAGTAACGATGTGTTTGCTATCACTAAAATGGTATGAGGTTTATATAGTGCTTTTTTATGTGAATATTCACCTGCTTATCTTTCCTTACTGTAATGCCTGAGTCTAGTGTTCTTAGCTGGCACTGCATTTGCATTAACAAATCTGATGGAAATGTAATTGCAGCACCAAAAAATCATGGTCACCCAATCATTACTATTGGGGCCAAAGAACTTTTGGTTTTGTCTCTTTAATAACAAGAGGCCTTGGTTTATAAACTTCACCTCAATGTATTATCAAAAGAATTTTTTTTTTTGTTATCCAAGTAAATCCTTATGATAATTGGCTTGAAATCAAATGAGCACAGCGTAGTGCTTCTCATCATGAATGCACCCTTCTTGAATTAGATGAAATTTTGTGGAAGGAGGATTGTGTTACAGGAATTGTACTGCCCAGTCCAGAACAGAGTCAATGGAAATGGGCTTTTGACTTTATAATATGGAGAATAGTGTCTTGTTGATTACCACTATAAAGATCAGGAGTAGATTATTATTATTATTATTATTATTATTATTTAGCTACATTGTTTTTTCCATAGGTTTCTGGGTCTTTTGTAATTCTTCACTTGGATGCATTTTATTTTATTTTGTTGTTTAACCTCTTTTTTCGGGCACAGGATGGAGTTTGGTTGGTGAGGGAAGTGAAGCAACCAAAAAAATATTAATTTGAAATTAGAACTTATGGAAAAGTGGTCCAACTTTTTGTGTTTGTTTAAGAGTTGACACTGTCAATTGTTTGAGTTTAATTTTTCCCAGTAGATGGATTATCTTTACTAGAGGATGAAATTTCTTTCCTATTTGCTATTTTCTATCTTCATTTCTTTCACAAGATTTACAATCCAAGCCAAGGAATAGTACCTTTTGGAAATCCTTTTTCCCATTGCCAACCAATTTTCTTTTGGTAACCAAACAAGAGCGGATGTAACCTAACATTGGAATACCATGCAGTTTTGCTCGATTTCCTTTCCCCACTGGATTGCTGGAACCAAACAGGGCCTTGCTGGTTGATCGGTCGGTCGGTGGGTCGGTGGGAATAGTGGGATATAGTTTGACATAAATCTTATTCAGAATTGTCCATTTCCATCCTCATCTGTCATTGTCATTATTTGCAAGTGTCATCTCAACTTTCCAAGTGCTTGCTACGGAGCTAGCTGCAGTCTTTTTTCCTTTCAAGGTTGAAAACTTTTGGAGTGGCTCTGGAAGAAAAAAAGCTGTATGACTAAGAGTCCTCCCTCTTCTATCACTTGTAGATGTCTTTGCCTTTGTTCTTTACTGTAGTTGTTGTCCTGCAAAAGAAATATATCTGCTCAGTATTTGACTTACAGCCCTCGTGCCAACCCACCAGGTAAAGTCTATCCTTTCTCCGCATCTTATTTCCTTCTCGTGGATTGAATTGCCTATCTGCACATCCTTGCTTGCTGCAGTTTCCCTGTTGCTTTTGGTGTCAATGACATTACAATCTGGTGCAACTTTTCCCTTCCACATTTTGAAAATCTTTTTCTGATGATATCCCAGAAAAAATCTCCTATTTTTAGACTGTTATCTTGAAAAAAGGGCAAGGGAGGGGGGGGGGGGGGAAGAGAGAGAGAGAGAGTGGATTATCTGTATTTCTGCTTTCATGAGTTGTGGTCGCACTGCTTCAGTGGCTTTAGGTTCTGTCATTTTTTTCTCATCCTTCCTTTTTCCCCTTCCTTGAATGTTTTATATGCATGGTTTTTGGTTTGAACAATTATCATGTTGTCCTTGGAAAATTTGCAGAGAGAGAGTGTTGTCCTAATTACCATTTGGACAACAAAAGTTGTTTAAAAAATTCCTTGTATTCTTATGGTTTGGGCTCAAGTTCTTTTTCTTTGTTGAAAAGAAAATCAATTTGATATTCTACTGCTTAACATATCCTAATTCATCAGCAACAATCTCTCATCAATTAATCGCAGAACCAAATTGGTCTACATGTGAAATTTTCTCCTCTGTTGTGCTTTCAACATGTCCTTTTTCCATTTACCAAGTATACACATTTAGAATTTTAAGATTTTTGCCTAGTGTAGCATGTGTGATGGGGGTGAGAGCTATATAAAACTGTTAGTCAGTTGGAGGACATTCCAGAAGCAACTCTAATGGCATTAACCAGTTTCCTAGTAATGATGCTCATTGTATGTTTCCTTCATGCTTTGATGCAGCTCATCTTTTAACGCTTCCTTAGATCCTTGCTGATTGGAGAACTTGTGTGCGCCATATTGGGTCTAATAAAATTACGGTTATGGCTTCAAAGGATCTTTGGGCTAAAATTCAAGACCATGGGACAGCTCTTGATGAGAAGAAGACGCGAATCAGGTGCAATTATTGTGGAAAGGTTGTCAGTGGGTTTAGTCGCCTTAAGTACCACTTAGGAGGAATCCGGGGTAATGTGGTTCCTTGCGTGCAAGTTCCTAACAATGTGATGGAAGTATTTCGAGATGAGTTACTTGAAAAGAATACAGGAAATGTCAGTAGGGAAGTTGGGGAACTTTGTTCCCCTAACCTCCCTTCAAGGAGAAACTCATTGCCTCGTCCAAATTCTGCAGAGCCTTATCATCCAGGGCGTACAAAAACTTCTGGCATGGGAAGTGAAAAACGGCGGAAGATTGCTGCACCATCTGAAAACCATGAATCTCTGTCAGCCTCTGGTACCAATATGACACTTGGTTCTCAATCAGCTGCGAGTAACCAATGTTCCTCTTCAAGGGAATTTCAGAAGCTGATAGGTAGATTCTTCTATGAAACAGGAATTGACTTGGATGCTGCAAGATGTCCTAGCTTTCAGAAAATGATGAATGCGAAGTTTGGTTCTGAACATACAGCATACCCGATTCCTAGCTCTGAGGATTTAAGAGGGTGGATCCTGCAGGAATCAGTGGAAGAGATGCAACAGTATGTGAGAGAGATTAAGAGTTCATGGATGAAGACAGGGTGTAGCATCTTGTTGGATGGGTGGGAAGAGTTGACAGGTCGGAAACTTCTGAATGTTCTAGTGGCCTGCCCAAAAGGTACAATTTACATTCGATCTGCAGACATTTCTGGGTTTGATGAGGAGGGCAGTTGCATGCTGGAATTCCTGGATGATGTCCTCAAGGAAGTTGATGTTCAGAATGTAGTCCAAATCATTGCAAACTCCAAGTCATCCTGGATGGAGACTGTTGGCAAACTGGTGATGGGAAAATACAAGACACTTTTCTGGACAGTTTGTGCTTCTTATTGTCTAGAACTTATGTTGGAGAAAATGGGGACAATGAAAAAGGTTAAAGAGACAATAGATAAGGCAAAAACTATCACAAGATTTGTGCATAGCCATGCAACTGTTCTGAAACTTCTGCGAAGTCACACTTCCATCAAGTACTTGGTTAGACAATCCAAGTTCAAGTTGACAGAGCCTTTCTTAACTCTTGAGAATATGGTCTCTGAACAAGAGAACTTGCAGAACATGTTTCTTTCGTCTGCTTGGAAGGCCTCGAGATGGGCTTCCTCAATGGAAGGAAAAATAGTGGCTGACTTGGTGGCTGATTGCTCGTTTTGGACTGGAGCAGAATTGGTTGTTAAGGCGACCATACCACTTGTGCGTGTTATAGACTTGATAACAAAGAATAATAACCCACAATTGGGTAATATATATGAGATAATGGATCAGGCCAAAGAAACAATCAGAGAGGAACTCAGTGACAAGGAATCTACATACATGCCATTTTGGAAGGCAATTGATGACATCTGGAATGGACGTTTACATAGCCCTCTCCATGCTGCAGGGTATTTCTTGAATCCGAAGTTATTTTATGTTAATGATTTCTATACAGATTCAGAAATTACCAGCGGCCTTCTGTGCTGTATTGTACGTTTGGTTGAAGATCCTGGTTGTCAAGATATGATAAGTTTGCAGATTGAAGAGTATCGTGCAGCAAAGGGTAATTTTGGTCAAGGAAGTTCGGATCTGCAGTCTTCTCTAGGTGATATTATACATACTTCACCTTTAATAATTAATCATCTAGTCCAAATTTAGTTATTCTGATTTATGTATTTGTTTCAGAAAGCTGGTGGTTCAAGTATGGAAGTGGATATCCTCAGTTGCAGCAACTTGCTATTCGAATCTTAAGCCAGACATGTACTGGTGGCACAAAATATAATCTGAAGAGGAGCTTGGCTGAGAAGTTACTCACTACAGGGAGGAACCCAATAGAGCAAGAGAGGCTGGCTGCAATGGTATTTGTGCATTATAATCTACAACTTCAAAATTTCAACCTAGGTATAGCAAATGACTTAGCAAGTGAAGACATTGACCCGATGGATGACTGGCTAGTTGACAGATCACAACCTGTTCTGACTCAGAGAGACCAAGAGAGAGATGAATTTACATGGAAGGAGCTGGATTGTGGTTACACAATAAATGGCAGAGTGGAAGGTAATTCTGGATATTCTAAGTTTCATCCTAAAAAAGAGCCCCATTCAATTTGAGTTTTGGACAGGCAAAATTGATTGCAGAACTCTTAATGGCCCTCAACATCGGTCTGTGTACTTGTCTGTTGTGTTCGTTTATGTCTAGTTTAGTTTAGCATCTTTTAAAGATATAGGCCTGTAATAGGTTTAAATCATCAGCATTTTTGTAATGCACATCCTTGGCAAATTTGAGAGGCAGATTATCGGGCCTGTCTTTTCGGGACCAAGATTGCTGCTTCAGAACTTCTCGTGTGGTAGTAACAGAAGGCAGTTGGCTATTGTGCACTAAAAGGTGAAAAATCATATACTGTTTCACATGTTGTAGTAAACAAAATAATGTTGGAATTTGGAAGCTTTGGCTAATGGCTAATAGTTTGATTGCATAGGTATATTATATATGTTTTAACATGCTAGTCGTTTTGTTTTCATACAGTTTGAAAGATAAGGAAGCCTTGGTAGTAATTACTTTGCAGTGACTTTGCAAGCCAGAAAACAGCTTGAATGATCTTTGTTCCTTTCAGTATGTTTAGTGATTATGGTTACATGTTTAGCGAATGATCTTGGTTCTTGGGATGAAACTAGTGCTTGATGATTTGGAGGATGAAGAGGTGTTTTTTAAGTGAGAGAGAGCGGTGGTTGAAATGGAGATATATTTGGTCTGGATTGTTCCTTTTAGTGAACTTTTGAATGTGCATGAAGAGTCTTACTTCTTACTCTCTTCTCAGAATGTGCAGATTCTCCGAGTCAAGAGTGCTTCATCCTAGGGGTTTGATTTTGATCATGGAACTACACTTTATCCTTTGCTACTTGGATGCAGAGACTGGACACCCACGTCCCATTGGTTCCTTCTAATACTCTGTTTCCTATGGAATAATATATGATTGCCAGAATGTACCATTGTAGAATAATAAACTGTTCAATATCTCGAGTGCTAACATCTGTAAATGAGCATTTCCAATGTAGATAGTAGTTACTTTAGGTTGACCCTTATGAAACTTTTGCAGATTGAGTCACATGATCAAGATCAAGATGCTATCATCGAGGGCCTCAACCATTAGTTATTTGGTGTTCTGGTTCACAAAGAAGAAATGTCAAGATTGCACCATTCATTTCATTTTTTTTTCATTTTTTATTTTTAATTTTAAACCATCAGTTAATGGTAATAGTTCACAAAGAAGAAATGTCATGAATTTCATCATTCATCTTTCTTTTCTTTATTTTATTTTATTTTTTTTAAAAAAAAGGCCTAAAGTGGATAGATGGACTGTTTCTTATCACATAATTTAGCTATTACTCAAGTCAGAAAGACAATAATGTAATTGCTTTTATTGAAGTATTTGTTTAACTTTAAAATACGAAAGAATATCCAGTGCAGCAACAAGTCCACTACATGTATTCTATAACATGAATCATCAAGGGGTAATGAGACTGAAAATAACCAAAATTAAAATCTAAAATTCATGAATTTAAAGATTGGTTGAAAATTAAAGGGTAATCTGGCTTTAGTTTGTGGGCGCAAATCCAAAATTAGAGGGTTTATTTTAAGTCTCAGAAAGTTTATAAGATTGTAATGTCCATCACGTTAGGGCCTATTCTCTATTGCTTCAACCTTTTGTTTTTCTCCCATAGGCCAACAAATCATGAAAGGTCTCCAAGACTTAACTTAGTTTATACATAGATTAATCAAGTGATCGTGAGATTCTCGGATCGACTCTCGAGCCCTCTCCTTTTTGGCTCTCCCTTGTAATGCTTGGAATTTCTCAATTAATTTCAACAATAAATTATGAAAATCTAATAAAATTTATTTTCAAATATTTGGAGAAAAGCTACAATTATTTTTGAAAGAACCAATGAGCTATTGTGTGTAATCATCTTTTTTCGACTTAAAATAAGTGATTTGAAAGGACGAAGTAGAAGTTAACAAAGGAATCTGTAGTACATCTATCTATATCTATTTATATCTATCTATCTTTACTCTACCATATAAAAGTGCCTTGAGTTTTAGTTAGTTAGGCGTGTAAGCAAAATTTGGTCTTAATTGTTTTGATACCAAAACTACCCTGCTCTCCAATAATTAGATACATTTTACTATATTTTAATGAAAATCAATAAAAAATGAAACATCCTTTTGAGTAATGGTGAATTAAGAATTTAATACTCATATTAAAAGATAGTCTCATAACTGAAATAGCACTATGGATCATTTACAAGTCAACATTAACAATAAACCAAAAAAACTTACCAAAACTAAAACAAAAAAATGATAAAATGATACAAAAATGACAAAATATTATCCAAAAAATTGAAAATTCAACTCAAATGTCATAAAAGAGAAAATTAAGGTAGTTTGAATACAAATACATAATTATAGATATTTTGGTACCAATAGTACCACCAGTCTTAGCTAGACTAAAGTATTAATAGAGTTGGCCTTAGTTTTTGTTGATGCCCAAAGTACTTTCCATAATAAGCCACATGTATTTGCAAAAAATGAACAAAAAATAAAAGGCCAAAAGTATATAGAGAGGCAGTTTGTTAACACATAATATAGCTACTCAACTCAGAAGCTGATGTAATGCCTTTATTTATCATGGAATAAAGTTTCACTATACCCAAAAAAAAAAAATCCAATAACGATTAGTGATTATTGACATAAAATTAGAGTCAAGTTTTCAAATTTGAAAATTGACAAAAAAGTAAAGGGTAATGAGGGTTTTGTTTGTTGCCACAATCACCAAAATCACATGTTATCCTTGAAGTTTTTTTTCCTTTTTTTTTTTTAACTCTTCTATTCCTCCTCACATCCTTCCTATCTCCAATTGACACATGTTCGAACCTTGAATCTGACAGCGAGGAGAACTCTAAAAGCCTTCCCCTACCTATTAGGCCGACACCAATGGTTGGTTCCTCATCCTTGAAGTTGATTATGAAAATACCAATACATTTCTTTTTCAATATTTGGAAAGAGCTCCCATTATTTTTAAAGAAGATAAGGGACTATTGTGCATAAGCATCCTTTTCCAACTTAAACTCAGTTATTAAACAAGTCGAAAAGTAAACTTAATAAAAAATTAAACCTATAGTACAATATCTGGAGAAAATCTTACTAACCTCAGGATTCATTTTGAGATGTAAATCCTACTAAACTTGGATTATGGTGTAACAACTCATACTCTCGAGTCTCAATCTCTTGCGATTTAAATTCAATCCATTGTTCTTGCATTTTTGCCCCTCTTAACTCTGATGCAAAACCGGGAAGCATAATAGGTGGGGAAATAAGAAAATGTTCAATACTTCAATGTTTCAATTTAGGAGGAATGCTATATCTTAATGAGCTTCAAAAAAAAAATCTTTTAATGGAAGAAGGATGAGATTTAAAAAGCGGAAAGGGTGTATCTTAATGAACTTGATGCCCTAACACCACCAAGTAAAGTGGACTCATTAGTGGTGTCCAGCAGTTGATTAGAGAATTTAGAGTTTCCCAAAAGATAACCAGTTCAGTCATTTTGATGGCCATCCATTTGCCAACTTAAGAGTTGTCTAATTTCAAAATTTGCACATCTCAATTGCAGAGTTAGGAATTTAAATGAAATGCTTTAATTGGAAACAAAGTGAAATCAGCCAATTAAAGGATACACAACTGATCATCCAGATTCATGTAACTGCTAAGCTCCAAGTGTTCGTCTCATTTTTTTTTCGAATGGTTGAATGGTAATACAAACCGGTCTTTTCCATTTTAGCTCCCGATGGCAATGATCAAAATGTTATGAAGTATAATTGAATGGATCATGCTTATAAAGTGAAGAAGAAAGTGGATTAAAAGAATGAAACAGAACACTCTCTTGCAGGAAGAACTCATTAAGAGAAACAGGAGATATTTTCTGCAATGTTTACACCCACATACACCGATGTACACGATGATGTCCTGGATTATCAATTGATGATGACACTCTGATCATTTCCGATTTCCTCCTGTTTTTCTTTGACTGTCTGGGCTGAAGTGCAAGAAGAAGGAGTGCAATTGTGCAACTCAATCCTCTGCAGTGTGGGTATATCCCCTAAGCAAGAAGGCATTCACAATTTGAGTATCTCAAGACAAGGGAGGTGATCCTCCGAGTCTGAGGCATTCCAATGTGCAATGTCCAAAGTCTTTAGCTTCAAGACTTTGAGTTAAGAAACTCTTCTTCTTTCATGTCCTATCTTTTCCCCAGAAAGGAAACAGCTGATAATATGAGAACCTCAAGATTAGGCAATTTCCCAATGGTTGAAATTGTACTCCATGGTAAAGGAAAATTTGCGAGCTTCAACTTCTTAACAGTTGACAGTTTGTGGAAAGTAGAATTCACAATGATAATGAAGTAATTGGCCACAGTAGAGCACTTTGAGTGACTCAAGTCGAGTGAGGAAGTCCAAAATCGGAAAACGATTGCAATTGGAAGTATGATCTCGTGAATCCAGAAATCTGCTACTCAGCTTTTGAAGGTTGGGTAAGAATCTCATTGTCTTCTCAATAGCTTTATCGAAGAATAAACATGGCATTGAAAGAGTCTGTAAGCAATTAAATCTGAATTCTGAAGAATTACTCCATGAATTCTTGATTATACAATGGCAAAGTGCAAGACCCATCTATTTTGAGATGCCTCAATCTCAACAAGTTCCAAATAGTGTCAAGCAATTGCATTCTATTATATGCTCTCACTAGAAGAGTTTCCAGCTTCTGCAGGTTGCTTATTTCCCTTGGCATACTTGTTGAGGAAGTGCGAATGGATAAGAATCTTAAAAGAACCAACTAGGATATGCAATAAGTAAAGTGTCACAGGACAAGCTGGAGTAGCGTGTAGCAGTCACGGTGTCGTTCTATTCATTTAACATAATTAGTTGTAAACTGTGTCGTTTTACTTATTTAGAAGAATTAGTGGTACCGTGTCGTTTTCATAATTGTCACGTAGCAAGGTTGTTAGAAAGGAATTTTCAGGAGTTGGTTCATGCAGCATTCGGTTATGTGCAACATGCAGGCATTGCATGCAACCTTCAGGCATTAGTATTAAGTAGTGGACTCTGCACCGAGAAAAAACAGACTTTTGATTGATTTGTAACAGATTTCTTGAGTGAAAGGAATAGTTCCTTCCTCTGCGAATTCATCTACCATCTTTTCATTTCTTCCTCTCCACCTTGATTCACGTCTTCATTTCTGTCCCCTCAAGCTGAACCCCGATATTTCTGCCAAGAAGCCACTGGGAATAGCTTGGGTTGGTGACAATTGGCATCAGAGCAAGTCGATCTTGTGGCAATGGCGGAAACTAGAAGTAAAATTTCAGAAGAGAATGTCAAGAGATTGGATAGAGAAGTCACAGATTTGGGAGTAGTGGTTAAGAACTTTGGAGGGTCAGTAGGGGATCTGCATGCTAAGTATGACAGTCTGATGAGCATGATGGCTCAAATGTCACAGGATTTTAAGAATTTCGCCAAGGAAAAACAACCCTTGGGAAACTCTCAGAGGTCTGGGAACGGTCAAGGCTCTCAGTCACAAGGGTCTGGAGTGAATCTGGGGGAAAATTCTGGCGGAAGTTTAAATGGAAGTCCAGGAGGAAGCTTGAATAGGAGTGATAAATAGAACGAAACAATCCTTCACATCTAAAAAAAAAACTAATTTGGTCTGGCAACGTATTTTAGATCAAATTTTTGACTTGAAAATGTACATCCAAATCACATACTCAAATTTCGAGAGGCAAAATATGAACAAAAATAGCATTCTCTTGAAAACAACCTTCAACCACCACTTCTAGGAGAAGAGGGAATGGATGGCAAGAGGTTTTTTTTTTAGGAAAATATTAATTTTCCTATTATTTGCCACTTGAAAATATGAGCACTTGACTTGGACGTGCAATTTTTTTACTAGAATTTTGGATAGAAATAAGTTGTTAGACAAAATTTATTCATTTGTAATATGTGGTGGACTATTTTGCATCATTTTATAAACAAGAGACCAAAAAAAGTATAAATTAACCCCATCAACTGCACTTTTGCATTTGCTCTACCAAGTGCAAAGAATCCGATACTACATCTCTACTATCCCAAGGATTCGAGGCACTATATATTCTAGACATTGTAAAAGTTTGTCTCAAGTCCAATCCCGTCCATTTAATTTTTAGATCAAACTTACTATTAATTGCATCTTCCAATTGATGTTCCTATCAATTCCGTCCATTTAATTCTAGATCAAACCTATCACTAGTTGCACCTTGCAATTGATGTTGCCATTGTAGAGGCCCTATCCATCTAGTTTGGACTCTTGGGAATACACCATACAACTTATAACAAATACACATCATGAAAATTAAAACAACAAATATGGATAGTTATTAATATCCACAGTAAAAGTTGTGTTTCGATACGTTATTGTTTTTAGTATCTAAACTTGTTGATATTCTATACACATCTATTATATTAATATATACATTTTTTTGCTGTATTCATTGCCAAAAGGAGATATTGGGCCTCCCAAATTGTGGCATACTAGAACTAGTCCATTTTGGACCGGTGTATGGCAATGTTTTGAAATCCGGACTAATAAATGAATTAAATAAGCTTCTGATTCATGGTTTAACCAATTTGATCAATTCAATTCCAGTTTAATGATATTGAAAATTTTTTATTATTTTAATATTTAATTACTTGGACAAAATTCATAAATAAAAAATATTTAATGAAAAAACCAGTTCAAAGACCAGCTCTTGATAGGATTTGATTGATTCATTTGACTTTCTAAATTAAATATAGAATCAGACTGAAACCATAATCAGTTCATGACGCAATTGATCAAGATAAAATCGAGATACATCTATATTAATATAATTCCAAAATCACTGAGGTCCAATTTCTCCAAAACTAACGAACTAGGCTTCATGGATTTTGTGATCAAGAATCTGCAAGAGCTGTTATGTTCAAATGCTGATTCAATTCTTCAGCTGCAGTATCAAATGGAGATGGTTCTTGGAAGTATATTATCTCTCAGAGAAATTTTTTTTGAAATTGGGGAACTTTTCTGAGAACAGGAGGAGCAGAGAGACCCTTGGATACGTTTCAAAGACATTGTATACCAGACTGAATTTGTCATTGATTCATTTATTGCCAGAAGTGGTCATCTTTGGGAATGGAAAATGGGTCTGTTTGATGTCCTGCAACAGATTAAGATTGTCAGTAGAGAGGTGAATGCTATTAAAATCAAAAGGACTACCAACATTCAAGTCCTCAAATTTCCAATGAACCTTGGTGGTTTTTCTTCTCTGGCTAGTTCAGAAAATTTTGTTGGATTGCGAGGTCCCAACCATGAAGCTGGAAATGAAACATAGAAGCCCATTGGTCATGTGTAGTTTTTTGTTGATATAAGTGAAAAAGATCGCGGACCAACTCACTAATGATTTCGCAGGGTTGTGCATACTCTCGATTATGGGAATGCCTGGCATTGGTAAAACAACACTAGGCCAATATATGAAAATCCTTTGGTTCCCTTATGCTTTCATGCTCATGCAAGGGGTCACGTCAGTCATGCATATGAAAAGAGAAGACTGTTGCTTGAAATTTTATAGCTAGTTTGTGGGGAAACTGACCAAGTATGGAAAATGGAGGTTGAAGATTTAGCTCCAAAGTTGTATCAAAGTCTCAAGGGCAAGAAGTATTTCATCTTCTTGGATGATTTGTGGGATATTAAACCATGGAATGATATAAAAGCCTCTTTCCCAGATGATGAGAGAGGTAGTAGAATTATGTTCACAAGCAGATTTCAACATATTGCTTTGGAAACTGGATGCATGAGCATGACTTGCCCTTTTAATCCAATATCAGAATCTAGGACCTAGGAATTGTTGCAAGTCAAGCTATTTGGAAAAGAAAGATGCCCTCAAGAACTTCTTAAAGTTGGACAGAAAATTGCAGCAGAATGCAAAGGTCTGACTCCTGCTGTGGATCTGACAGCTATGATGGCAAGAAACACAACACTTTGGGGACAAATTGCTAATAGTTTAAATGCACACCTTCTTGAACATCAAGACAGACGGTGTATGCACATACTGGAACTTAGTTACAACCAGTTACCAGACCATCTGAAACCGTGCTTTTTCTATTTTGGGGCATTCCTTGAGAACAGAAAAGTGCCAACAAATAATTTGATCCTGTTATGGATTGCAGAAGGATTTCTTCAACTGCAAAAAAATGATGAAGGAAGTTCAGAGGATATAGCTCGAAATTACTTCAATGATCTAATTGCCAAAAGCCTTGTAATAGATTCCAAAAAGGATCCTTCAATGGAGGAAAGCAAGCCGTGTTCATGATCTACTACATGATTTTGTGCTGGCAAAAGCCAAAGAAGAGTGCTTCTTGCAGCAGCATACATGTCTTGATTCCAAGGATTCGTCTGGTCATGCCCAGACATTGTATGAGCCATACCATCTTTGCATCTATTCTTATTGGGAGTGCTTCAAAGCATCAAAGCCTTTTGGCCCACGTCTCCGCTCGTAGTATCATCAGCCCTTTTGCATTCTTGCCCGTTTGAGAACTTCAAACTTCTCAGGGTGCAGGATCTTTCAGGCATCCATGTTGACTTTATGTCACCAACTCAAGCTGTTCCCAATGGCTTCTTGGCAGAAGTATCGGGGTTCAGCTTGAGGGGACAGAAATGAAGACGTGAATCAAGGTGGGGAGGAAGAAATGAAAAGATGGTAGATGAATTCACAGAGGAAGGAACTATTTCTTTCACTCAAGAAATCTGTTACAAATCAATCAAAAGTCTGCTTTTTCTCGGTGCAGAATCCACTACTTAATACTAGTGCCTGAAAGTTGCATACAATGCACAAGATTTGTAAAATCGGGATCTTACGTAGGATCGATTTTAGTTTCATAGAATCGGATCGTAAGATCGTAAGATTCCACCAAAAGTTCCTAAATTTACTAAATTAATGAATTTGAAATTGATATACCATTTTGTACCTTCTAAAAGATATCAAATAAATAAATTACTCATAAATATATAACATTTTTTACTAACAATCTGACAAGTAATAAAGAAGAGAACATAAACCTGTTATCTATCATGATTTCAAATCTTAAAACCAAATGCTTTATAGTTTACGCAATCATAATTTCAAATATAAAATAATTATCAACCTCCAATGATGAAATCTAAACACATGGCTGCCATCTAAGCAATGACATCTCCATTGCCAAAAGATACTTTTTCAGAAACAATAAATTTCTCACTGCACAACCAGATTGATAGGGTTGTACAGCCCATAGAATCTTACTGTAAGGGACCTCATGCTAAAGAGTGGATGCACAATTGAACCACATTCAGTCGATCAAGACATAAACCACATCAAATTGATCTAGCCAGGGGCGTTTTGTGCTTATTGAGAGAGTGTATGTCAGTCACCTGATGCATACATAGCCTAATTGTAGACTTGGAGGGGGGAATTAAAATAGCTGTCTAGGACAGTCCCAATAAATCTGAACTCTCAATCAGTGCACCTCAGTTGGAGACAAACCTGTTGGGATGCCTTGAATCAGGTCTTCGATCCATGGCGACTCGACTATGTTGCGTTTCGCTGAGCTGTTTGGGGTAACGCCTTGGCTGGGGGGCCCGGGAGGCAGCGTTGCCCCTGGTGGGGGTTCGGGGGCAACGCCCCCAAAGCTTACGGTATATATAAGTTACCGTGTCTGTTTTATTTTGGGTTTTGGTTCTGGACCTATTTTTGGGTCCGGTCCGTTTAGTTGTTTGGTTGTATATATATACACCTTATATATACACATTCGTTCCAAACCCTAATAGAAATCTGATTTCCCCTAAAACTGTTCTACTGTTCTTGTTTGTTCACTTGTTTTGTTGCATCTGGTATAACAAAACCATTGGAGGGTGTAACAAGAAAGTCACAAGATTCTGGGCCTATATCTGAATTTTGAATTAATGACCATTTTACTAATAACTTCAGAGATTAACAACATCGGTTGCAACATGGAGAGTTCTCACTTTTTAATTGTTTGCACATCATCAGACTTCAGGTAACATACATCGGTGCTTTTTTTGACTTTTTGAGCAAAAATTGTTAAAACATTGCAATTAAAGGCTGCAATTCTTTGATAAATTACAAGCCTACCCCAAATGTTTTCATTTACTTGCAAAATGGAGTCTCGTATTTCACATATTAGCAAAATTTTGTAGGATCGCTGTAGGATCGTAGGATCGTATGATTCTATACGATCCTACCGATCCTACTCGATTTTATGATTGATTAATGCAATTTGCGATTCTGAATGCGATCCGGATCGATTTTGATTATCTAGATCGTACGATCCTACGATCCTACGAACCGGATCGCGATTTTGACAACCATGGCAATGCATGCATGTTGCACATAACCGAATGCTGCATGGACCAACTCCTGAAGATTTCTTTCTAGCAACCTTGCTACGCGACAATTATGTAAAACGACACCGTACCACTAATTCTGCTAAATAAGTAAAACGACACAGTTTACAACTAATTATGTTAAATGAATAGAACGACACCGTGACTGCTACACCTTACTCCAGCTTGTCCTGTGACATCTTCCCGCCCTTAACTGCAACCTTGTCCTCAAGGTTCAAAGTCTGGAAATGCAGCGCATATGAATTCAGCATCTTCCCAGGTAGCATTAGATGGAGAAGAATTGAACCATTGGACCAACCATTGCACTGCCGTACTATTCTTCCTCTTGACCATTCGCCTGTCTAAGACTGCCATTGGTTGGACCTTCAACTGCCATTCTTCATCCGAATATGGTAATGCTGTACTAGGAACCACTTCTTCTCCTACCTTCTTCTTTAACAGTGACACATGGCAAACAGGATGAATTTTCGAGTCTTCTGGCAATTTCAACTTATAAGCGACAGCTCCAATCCTTTCAATCACCTGATATGGTCCGTAGTATTTCGCAGCAAGTTTCATGTTCTTTCTAAGAGCCATAGAGATTTGTCTGTAAGGCTGTAACTTTAAGAATATCCAGTCTCCTACAGCAAATGTCCTTTCTGATATCTTGTTGTCTACATACTGCTTCATTATCGCTTGAACTTGCTCTAGATTATCCTTAAGCAATCTCTCCATGCCTTGCCTGTTCTGTACATAGTATTCTAAGGCTGCTACGTTGGTTTGAAGATATGGTCCAATGGTCACCTGTGGGGCCTTGAACCCGTAAAGAGCTTCAAAAGGGGTCATCTTAATGGAGAAGTGGTATGAAGTGTTATACCACCATTCTGCAAAAGCCAACTACTGGTGCCAGGACTTGGGTTTCTAATGAGCCATGCACCTCAAATACATTTCCACACACTGATTCACTCTCTCGCTCTGTCCATCACTTTGAGGGTGATACGCAGAACTGAAATGTAGTTTAGACCCCAAGAACCGAAAAAGTTCCTGCCAAAATTGACTTGTAAACGCTTTATCTCTATCAGACACTATACTTTGAGGAATTCCATGCAGCTTACAGACATCATGAAGGAAGAGTTTGGCCACACCAACAGCACTAATTGGGTGGGATAGACTTTGGAAATAGCTATACTTGGTCAACCGGTCAACTACAACCATGATCACATTTTTTCCTTCAGATTTTGGAAGCCCCTCTATGAAATCCATGGTAACATGGCTCCAAGAGTACTGAGGAACTGGGAGGGGTTGCAACAGCCCAAGACAAGCGACATTTTCGTGCTTGCATCTGCTACAGACATCACACTCTTGCACCATTTTTCTGATATCCTCCAGCATGTGTGGCCAGTAGAAGAACTGTTTAGCTCTTAGGTAGTAGGTTTGTATTCCAGAATGCCCTCCTGTGTAAGAAGCATGGATTGCCTGGATTACCTTCCTTTTTATGTCTCCTCGTCCTCCAATATAGATTTTCCCCTTATACTTCAATATACCATTTTGGTAGCTATACTCAGAGTTCTCAGCAGGTGCCAACAATAAGCTTTGAATTTTAGTTTGTACATCTGCATTCTCGCTGTAGCTATCAATAACTTCTTGCAACCAAACTGGTGTCACGGTGGATAATGCTGCACATTCCGTTTGATCCACCCCTCTCCTAGACAATGCGTCAACCACTACATTCTCAGCTCCCTTCTTAAACTGTATCTCGTAACTCAACCCAAGCAATTTAGTCAGCCATTTTTGATGCAAGGGAGTAGTGATCCGTTGCTCCAGTAAGAACTTCAAACTCTGGTGATCAGTTTTTAGGACAAAGTGATGGCCCTCTAAATAATGCCTCCATTTGTTAATAGCAGTTACCATAGCTAGTAATTTATTCTCATATATGGACATCCCTAGGTGCCTTGGTCCTAGAGCTTTGCTCAGATAAGCCAATGGTCTTCTTCCCTGCATTAGAACTGCCCCAATACCCCCATAACAAGCATCCGTTTTCACCACAAATGGCTTGGTGAAATTTGGAAGTGCTAGCATAGGAGTTGAACTCATAGCTAGTTTGAGTAGTTCAAAAGCTTCCTCTGATGCCGTAGTCCATATGAAACGATCTTTCTTGAGCATATCAGTCAGAGGCTTAGCGATGGCTACATAAACCCTGACAAACTTCCTGTAGTACCCTGTCAACCCCAAAAATCCTCTCATCTGTTTTACCGATGTGGGTTTTGGCCAATTAGTCATGCACTTGATTTTATTGTTGTCCGCAGCTGCCCCCTCCGAGCTAATAATGTGGCCAAGGTATTCTAATTTTGGCTGTGCAAATGAACACTTACTTCTTTTTGCAAATAGCTGATGAGCTCTTAACCTCTCCAGAACTTCTTCAAGATGCTGCTTGTGTTCCTCTAAACTTCTGCTGTAGACTAAAATATCGTCAAAAAACACAAGTACAAATTTCCTCAATTCCTGTTTAAATACCTCATTCATCAAGCTCTAGAAAGTAACTGGAGCATTATTCAGGCCAAATGGCATGACTTTAAATTTGTACAAGCCTTCATGGGTTCTGAAAGCTGTCTTGAAAATATCCTTGCCTCTCACCCTTATCTCATGATAACCAGCCCTCAAATCAATTTTGGTGAAGTATTTTGCCCCATATAATTCATCTATGAGTTTGTCAATTAAAAGCATAGGATATTTGTCTTTGATAGTCAGCTCGTTCAGGTGCCTATAATCTACACAGAATCTCTAGCTTTCATCTTTTTTCTTGACCAACAAAATGGCCGAAGCAAATGGGCTATTGCTAGCCTGGATAATCCCATTTTCCAGCATTTCCTTAACTAGTCTCTCAACTTCTGCTTTCTGAATGTAAGGGATCTTATATGGTCTCAACTTGAAGGGTTGAGCGCCCTCTTTGAGAATGATCTGATGGTCATGGGACCTTGGTGTGGGTAGACCCTTAGGTTCTGCAACGACATCTTCAAATTTAGCTAGCAATTCCACAACTTCGTTAAGGACAGGTTCCTCTTCCCCTGGTTGGCTCTCTGAAGTCGCACATATACACCCCAAAACCCCATAAGTGTGCTTCCTGAATCACTGTTTTGCCTTACTACCTTCAACAAGCTCACTTCCCCATCACAGCTACCACTACTTAGCGTTACTGTCTGACCATTCTTGTTGAACTGAATGAATAGTGAGTTGAAGTCAAAAACTACTGGGCTATATTTCCTTAACCAGTCTACTCCAATCACCATATCACTCCCCCTAGCTTCAATGTCCTCACCTGGTGCTGGAACTCCAATACACCCATTCTCCAGATCAAAGGGTTACAAATGAACCTACTATACAACTTTGTGCTATCAGCCATAGTTACTCCCAGGGGTTTAGTAGGCATCAGTTTGCACTGTAATTGCTTTGCAAGTCCTTTATCAATGAAGCTGTGAGTGCTACCACTATCGATGAGGATAGATATTTCCCTATTCTTAATAAAGCCCTTAATCCTAATAGTTTTAAAGCTCACATTACCAGACAAGGCATTCAAGGAAATTTCAATTTGTTCATCATTCTCTAACAGTTGACCCTGGTCATCTAGACCTTCCTTCTCTACTACTTGTATCAAGTACTCTTCGGAGTAAGATTCATCAGTTAAGATGAAATTAATATGTCTAAATTGGCAAACATAACCCGGGGTATATTTCTCATTGCATTTGTAGCACAACCCAAGCTCCCTCTTAGTTTGAAAGTCCTTTGGCGAAATTTGTTGGTTGGGTAGTTCTGGAGTTTTTGAAGGAATAGAAGAAGAAGGGAACGAGTTAAATTTGTTGGAGTTTAAGGCTGAGTGGGTTGTGTTTTTCTGGGCAGGAAGTGTATTGGAAGATGGCTTGGTCATTGGTTTGGAGTATCGATTAATGGCAGTGACAGTGATTTCTTGTTGGGTTGCAATTCTATGGCCGAGATCAAGGTATTTGGTTTTAGCATCTTCACCATGGACTTAATTTCTGCTTTTAATCCACTAGTGAAAACAACAACATAATATGATTCAGACATGTGAGGGAGAGAAGCCATTACCAGGGCTTTGAGCTATTCGAACTTTTCCACATACTCTTCTACAGTTCCCCTTTGCTTGATTTTACTGAATTCTTCCACAACATTCCTGGGGTTCTTTTTCCAAGTCTTCTACAAATTTCAGTGGCTAACATCCCCCATGGAAGGTCGTCCCTCCCTGCTTGAAATCCGTGGAACCATGTATCCGCTCTCTTTTTCAAGTACATTTCAGCGATAGGGACCTTCTGGTTCTCTGGGATCTGATGAATGTGGAAGTATTTCTGAGCCTTCCTCACCCATTCCTGGGATCTTTTGCTTTCAAAGCTTGAAAACTCAATCTTGGGCAGTCTTTGTCCACACCTCAGGATTTGCTTTATGGGGGATTATTTTGCTTCATTGTACGATGTTGGATTGTGGTGGATTCCAATATCAAATTAATGGATTAAATCCACTAATAAAGGAGACAAATGAAAAATTTTATTACACTCAAAATGTATACAATAACAACACTCATAAAATAAACTTATACTAGACACTACTAAATTGAGCCTTATTATTGGGAATATTTGTTTTAATTTTTTTAGAACCTTACTCTTGAGAAATCTGCTCAAACACTCATTTAACAACTGTGTTCGTTTATTTTCCTTTCTTTCTCTTGAGCTCTGATGCATTCAACTGAAAAGTGAACCCCTATTTATACTAGTAAAACCCTGACATGTAGCTGCAATTTTTCTCTTCTCATTAATGCATAGCTCTCTAAAAATCTATTGAAGATCACGGCTAGAACGGCTTCTCAATTTGAGCGTGATATAGCAGCAATAGATTCTCACAGTCACGCCGTGAAAATGGACTTTTACAATTGTCCATTCTTCCATGTCAGAAAACTACTACACTATTGTACTTTGCTTGTGGTAAATGCATATGGTTCAATGGTGGGATTTAGCATTAAAGTCAATGATGACTTTCAACCCAACCTCTCAGCATTGACTTTTCACGTAGTCATATCAAGAATCTCTCAAAACTTCATGAACTTGGAAGGATTCAAACTCTTTGTGAATATATCAGCAACTTGTTCATCTATGTTGACATACTTCAAGTCAATTTCTCCTTGCAACACCTTCTCTCGAACAAAATGATACTGAACTTCAACATGCTTTGTTCTCACATGAAATGCTGGATTTTCAGCCATGCGAATAGCTGACTAGTTGTCGTAGTATAACTGAACTGGGTAATCAATTGGTTGGTGTAAGTCCTTCATGAGTTGCACTAACTACGTCCTTTCCTGTGCTGTTGAAGCTACTGCTCTATACTTTGCTTTTGTATTGGATAATGACACTGTCGATTGTCACCTTACTACACCAAAAAATTTTGATTAATCCAAAGTTGAACATATAACCTGCAGTTGACCTCCTTGTATCATGAACACCCGCATAGTCTGCATAACAATATCAAGTCACTTTGCAAGTTTCTCCTTTCTTGTACAATAGACCATAATGAATGGTCCCTTTAATATGTCTCAAAATTCAACGCATAGCTTCCAAGTGTGTTTCTTTGGATTTTGCATGAATCTACTCTCGATCCCAACTGCATATGATATGTTAGATCTAATCAAAGTGAGATAAATTAAACTACCTACTAACTATTTGTACATGGTAGTATCGTCAAGGTCTTTACCCTTAGTAGAGCAATATCTGGCATTGATCTGCATTGCAGTTGAGATTGGTTTATACTCGAGCATCCCAAATTTCTTCAATAAATCTTTGGCATAC